TTGGCGGGCTTCAAATTCGGCTCACTGACCATATATCGCCAACACTTCCACTGGACTTGCTCAATGAGCTGGTAATGAGAAAAGTTGGGGCGGTGTTAAATTCTTTGGCTGAAATGTCTGTAATTGATATCTCTACTTCATTTTAGAAAACACTTTCTTCAGTTTAGTCACACACGGAGTATATTTTTAAACATTTTTTTTATTATAAAATTCAGAATATTTTATCTTTTAGCCACATATTCAGCAGCTCCATCACAAATCACAATCAGTGATTCCAACCACTTTAAACCTTGCCGAATGAGCCCAGATATTTAGTATGAGAAAATAAATAGAAGTTGTAAATCATGTTCCTTATATCTATCTCACATATCACTACCAGCTAGAAATCAGAATGATAGATACTGAATTAAATGTAAAGAGAACTCTATGACTCTCAGCTATACAAGCTCAAACCATGTCACAGGGGGGCAGAACAAGCTGAGCAGAAAAATACCATACAGCTCATTGTTGCACAATAATGTGTATAATGTATTACAACTACATGCCCAATATAGTTGGATAATTTTAGATCTGAACATATCATTAAGGTGTCCTAAAATGGAATCTGAATATTCTTTAATTTGTTAAAAAAGACAAATAATGTGTATATTCAGACTTTCAGTGACATCAATGAGTCCTAGAGAGATGCTTAAGCCTTAATGCAGGCTATTGCTAATCTCAGACAACTACAGTCTATATGCTTAATGTATTGACAAATATAAGCACTAAGTTTAGCTGTCAGTGAGCTTTAAAAGCCCTTTCCCCAGAAATGAGAATGCCCTACCATTTGGATCACATCCATCAAGAGCGGGTGCTGTGATTTTGGGGAATCTAAGTATCTAATGATTCAAAATGGCAAATGCTCTATAAGCTCTCTATATTGTACTAGTAGTCGTTTCTATTATCATTCTCTAGCCAAGCATAGCTTCACTTAGTTTCTAAGCTCATGGCTAATGATCCATGTATATGAGTTCTGTTAAAGTCCCATTTGGCAGCATTAATCAGTTCATTCTGATTATAAGTACAATAGTATTACAGTACTTTATTAGGCAGGAAACGATTTATCAAAAGCTTTTCCTTTCTGAAATTTAGCAAATTCCACCATAGAGCCTTGCAAATGATTTATAAGCAATACTAAACAAGAGCAAACCATTAGAAGACCCATGCTTTAAATTTAAAATAAAATATGCACAGTGTTTTTTACCCCTAAATAACAAGCAACAACAAAATAGTCAAATAACTCATCACACATATACAGAGTACTCCGTATATGTTTTGTTTGGAAAAAGTTGCCTTCAAATTCGTTGAGAAATGAACATTTAACAGCAACAATGCTTACATCTTAAAAAGCGTCAGGAAAGTGACAGGTCTGGAGTGATCTGAAAGTAAACTCCAAAGGGATCATCCGCCTGGTTTGGGGGGCTTGCGATACTTCTCCTCAACGTCCTTGGCCTTGAAGAGAACGGACTCTATGAGCTTCTGAATGTTAGGGACGCTATAGTTTTGAGCTATGTAGATTCCGCACACTGTACCGGTTATGAATGAGAAGCCGCTCTTAATTAGCCCCATCTCTGTTCGGCTTTCCGACCTATGAGGTTTTGCTGTGCAGTAGATGAGAGATTTCGCTACAATTAGGGGTTCCGGCGGAGGTCTAAAGAAGACGGCGTGGACAACTACCGCGTGATCGGCATCTGGATCCGATAACTGCGACGGCGCTGTCGTCTGATTTTTATTTCGCAAAAGATTTCCATTACGGGTAAGCAACTAAGCACAGTATGGGACGATATGATACAATGGAACTCGGTATATGAGAAATGACATTTGTACAAACCATTTTACCGGTCAGATTGATTATGTACACATTTTTTTCATTTTGTAAACACAGCCATTTTTCGTGCCCACAATTTCATTATATGTGTATTATTTGTGTTATAGGCAAAAAAATTATCTTTACCAAAAACAATTCCGTAAAAATAAAACAAAGTTGTCTAATAATTCGACCTGCTTGTAAATTGCCACACTCGGCACCCTATTCTAAGGCACATTTTCCAATCGCTCCTAACTTTTTAAAAGCATTTTTGTGTTTTGTGTGCTTTCATAATAGAATATTAAAGTATGGAGAAATTACTCTAAATATTAATGTCATGCTTTTATTCTCTAAATATGAGTAATTAATGTCATGGTTTGATAGTAACAGATTTGAAACACGATAATATCTTCCAAACGTGACGGTAATTACTTGTATTTAGAGTATAAAAATATGATAGTTCTATTTTGAAATTCCAAAACCTTTTTACTTCTATTTCGGGAATTTTTTGTTAAATGTGTGTTTTCAAACTCAAAATTCCACTCAAAACTCTAAAAGGGCACTTCTAGAGCACTCATGACCCCTACTCGCTCGAGGTGTACCACCTGGTGCTGGATGGTTTGTCAGAAGTTTATAGTGCGCGACCTACTATTGTGTGCCCACGGAGACCCATGATGTTCTGGAATGATTGTCTAACCATTTTGACGAAAATGTAGGTCCCGAGTTGTAGAAAGTGCTGCCTAGCACAAAAGTTTGTTCGACAAATGTTTGCTCAAATCCTCACAGGCGAACCCAGTGTTGAGGTTAAGTCCTTGCAATCCAAAGGCTCAACACGGTCCCTTTGACTTTCGTTGGATTCTTTTAATGAGTTAGTTAGTGAGTGTTTAAGGCAAGAATGAGACCGAAGTAATTAAGTACTACCTTCGTAACCTTGGGATGTTCCCATTTGAAAAGTAGGTCGATTAAGAATAGTGAAAAGAGATATGTATTATTGGGGGTATGATGGGAAAATAGTGAAATAATGTGATTGAATGAAGGATAAATCTCCAAAAAAAAAGTAGGTGTAATAGTGTATTATTTTTAAAATTATTGAGGGTATGATGGGAAGATTTGGAAGTGGGAAGATATTAATGTCACGTTCAAAAAAGAAAAGTGGGAAGATATTTACGTTACAGAGGTAGTACTTAACAAATAAATAAGAGGCAAAGTGAAATCAATTTTATCAAACACTTAGAACGATTACAACATTTATGTCGAGCCCGGACTCCTACCCCCTAGATCAAGCTGAAGAATACAGAAAAACCAGATAGAAATCTATTGCTAAGTATACATGTTTGCTAACACCTTACAATGAAATAAATGCTCCTATTTATACCACAAGGTTGCAGGTAGATGAGGTGATATGCTCAACCCTGAGATAGCCCCCAACCATAAAATATTTCATATCTGGTGCACTAAATGTGTTTCCTATCAATTCTAGACTTCTCGACAATTACTCGGGGGTTTCTCCTTAGACAGTTGACAGACTCAACGGAGAAGCCCAAGCAAGGGGTATTTAAAATAGTTGGGCCCATATGCAGATTGGGCCAATTGAGGTATTTAAGTTTGAATCTAGGGGCTTGTCCTCAAATAATACTAATTAAAAGCATTTGGACAAAAAAGAGACTTTTCTTTTAAGTTCCAAAAATAAGACTAAATAATACTTAAGGGACTGTTACACCCTTACTAAGCCCAAACCCACTGGCCTGCTACAGTAACCCGTCACAGTGACCAAATGTGCAGTGACCAATGTTACAGTTACCAATGACATAGTTACAAAATCCTCCAGTGACCAAAATTCATCAATGACCAAAATCCGCTAGTGACCAAAAATTCGCCAGTGACCAAAATCCATCAATGACCAAAATCCGCTAGTGACCAAAAGTCCAAAACCCAATAGTGACCAAAAATTAAATATCAGTCCGATTTCGACTAGTTACTTAATCAAATCCGACCAGTTACATTCATCAAATCCGCCCAGTTACAACTATCGGATTTCGACTAGTTACAGTTACTAGATCCGATTAATTAATGTTACTCAATCAGTTACATTGATCAAATTTGACCAGTTACAGTTACTCAATCCGATCAGTTACAATTACGTAATTCGATCCGTTAGAGTTACTCAACCAGTTACATTTATCAAACCTGATCAGTTACACCCGACCATCATTTGCATTTACCAATCCCGACAAGTTACAGTTAGCTGACACAACCGATTACAAATATATGTTATCAGACCAGTTACACTATTTGATTTAACCAGTTGCACTTACTCGATCTCATCAGTTACTAGACTATATCCATTGCATTAACCCGACCCGATAGTGACCATCACTAGCTACCACTGCCGGCCACCGCCACTAGCCACCACCGCCGGTGAATCGGTGACCCGCCACCGCCCTCACTCCGGCGGCCAACCTCCCTGACATGTCTTCATCCCAAGCCCCAATCCCTTCTTCAGCATACCCCAGCCCCCAAATCCCCTGCAACCGCATCTCCCGACCATTGCCGCAGCCGCAGCTGCCGGCCACCACTCCCGCCCCCAACCCCTGCAAGACTGCAACCACCTCACACCACCAACCCTCCCCAGCGATGATCAGCATCACCTAGGCAGCCCCCTCCCCAACCGCCCAGGCAGCCCCTCCCCAGTCCCATCAAATTAAACCCAAACCACGCCCAAAAAACCATAGCTGCCATGCCGCTACGTCAAAATCGTAGCTGAATCGCCGTCACCATGCTCGATTTTGAAACCCTAGCTGTTGGAGACGATATCGCCGCGGCCGTCGCCATGGATCCTCGATCGTTCAGCCAGCAGAGAAACCCTAGCTTCACCGGAAGAGAGGCTTACCTAGGACATTGTTGGATTCGGCGGCGGCGGCGTAATGGGACGGAGACGGTGGTGGGCATGGAGGAGTCGCATCTATGGATGGGGCTTATGGCATGGATCGTTGGGATCGATCAGGGGGACCTGGGTCTCCTTTTTCAATTAGGGGGTATTTTAGTCAATTGGGTAATGTGTAGTCTTATTGTTGTCCAAATTGAAGACCGGTCTTATTGTTGTCCACGTAGTACTTTTGCCATTATTTCTTGAATCTAATGTCCCAACAATTATCCATAAATGTGTCATTTTGCAACAATTTTTTTTATCCAGCAAGAGTGTGTAACAATTGTCTCGCACTGAGTACGAAGTATAATGGAAATAAATTAAACTGCAATAAATTCTATTTCACTGTTCTTCCCGCAAAAACTGACCTTCCCTTCTCTCTTCTTTCTTCTATCTTTCCTTTTCCCCCAACTCTGATGAAGGTCAGAAAGGTCTGTATGGATCGCAGAATGTGACTGCCGACAATTCTCGCATCTTCGTCAGAGATCACCGGAGGTCCTCACTTCTATTTAATTTACCTACTAAACTAATTGTTTTATATTCAATATATATGCTCCTTTGTTATTCCTATGCATCAAAGTCCCATTCTTTTTTCGAATTCAACTGTTTTGCAGACATATATGATGGTCAGAATCATTCGTCTGTTCGTTCTTTCAACTTATTGCTCTAGTTTTCTCGGCGCCTAGGGTATTATTTGGCGATTCTCTGACTTTTTTATTTTATTTTTTATTTTTGGGGGTTTGGGTCTAAGTTCTGATTAAATTAAATCTTTAAAAAAGTCTGGAACCCTCTTTCGTTCCATCTATCGACTATGGGTACCTGTATGACTATTAACGAATCACTTATCTGGCGACCAATTTGGTTTCCCCTTTTGGTATGATGATGAAATGGTTTGCTTTTATTCGTGGTCATTTTTGTGATAGCGGAAGCCTTGAAATTGAGTCAAGAGCATAGTTTAGCTTCTGTGGAGGTATTAGTTACTGTTTTTCTTGAGGCACGAAAAAAGATTACGTGTGCTGGCTTAGAAGCAGCTACCAGCTACTACTTGAACACTATTAATAGCTATGTGCACAACAAATAATAATTATAGAAAAATGAAACTCGGTAAAAGATTTTGCATCCACCGTTATCTTAAGGCCATGAATAAGATATCCCAAGATATTTCATTTTGAATAAGATGTTGTCATGAATGATCATTTAGAGCCTGTTTTGTAATTTTTTTTTTCTGGATAAGCAAGTCTGGAAACCTGTTTGGTAAGTTTATTTTGTCTAAAATGGCTGAAATTGCTAATTTGTGTGCAATTAAAAGTATTTGGTGAAATTGTTTTCAGACAAATGACTAAGCAAGATAATGTGATTAGTACTACAAAATATGTCCTTAAGCCGTATGGAAATTTTATCTGTACATGCAAGGTTGAAGATATCATAGGCTCAATAAATTAAAATGTTTCGCTTTGAAAGATAATTCAGTTTCATTTTTGAAGCAGGTTATCCGGATTCAAAGAATTTTATGAGTTTCCGTCAGTTTGGGATCAAAGAATAAAATTGGCTTGTTAGTATTTTGATTGTCGAAGATTCATATCAGTCTCCGATGGGAGTGAGCTACATGTCAGTTTCAACCACCTGTACTGCTCTAAGCTTTATTGGGCTTCAGTGTTGGATAGGATGGTCACTTGATAAATTAAGTTCTGATGGGCCCATTCTTTCAAGTATTCTCAACTCACGTGATGCAAGTCCGGCACTTGAGGCAGTTCTGGATTCGTACACCACTATTGCGCTGGTGGCGAATTTTGTCATTAACACATTTGTTTTACTGATTTTGTGTCTCAAGGTCCTTCCCTTGCAGCTTGTTTAAGTTTGTTGTGCATATTTTATTACCCTTTCTGGATTATTTTTTGAGTGTAGTTGTATGCATTTGTAGACTATATTCTTCGGAGAATTGCACTCGTCTGAAAGTAGGAAATTGGCTGAACGCCTCATCAACTATATCATCTACAAGGTAAAGCAGATTTCATCATCTAAACCATTCAATAGGAGGATGCCTAATTTATTTTTGTATTTATTTATTTAAACTATGTGTGGAATCCCTAAAATGGTAGAGAAATGAAAAAAGGATAAGGAAATTAGTTTTTATGTTATGTTTTACCTTGGGAATACAAAGGAAAATGAAATTTGATTATTTTTCTTTTAGTTTTTTTAGGTTCCATATATTAAGATATCTTAGGGTCTTGTAACTTTGTAAGTTTTTATAGTAGCAACTAGCGTTTGCTCGCGCAAGGCGCGAGAATATTTGCCCAATGTTAAAGTCATACTCTTTTTATGAGAGATTATTATATATGAGATTGCAATGAGGATTTTTAAATAATGTATATAATTATCCTAAACTTTTGATTAATTGTTTCATCAATTATATGCTCAACTCACCAACTACTGCGTGAAAATTCTGCCTATATTTTTTAAAGCTATTTTATTTTATTGAATTGGCCAAATATTTTGGTTTAATTATGAAATAATTGTAGTGATAACAGGATTTTATAATGAATTGTGTCGACCGTGTTATTGAACACACTAAATTATGTGAATATGGGGCTATTATATGTAAGTGTAGATGTTGAGTGTAGAAATATAAAAAAAATCAAATTATAGGTGCTCAACAAGCAAGGAGATATCTAGTATGGGACTGGTTGGGAGATAAAATTGATATAATAAAAGTAGGGGTTTTGGAACAAGCTCTTAAATTGTGCGATTAAGATGTACTCCATGTTTTATATTTGGGGAAAAGAATTTAAATATCCTAAATTTTGAATATGTGTGAGATGAGTACCCCAAACTTGCACATGTAATATATATACCCCAAACTTTATATAAAAAGTTATCACAGATGTAATTTTATGGTGTTAATTACTTAATTTAAAATACACAAAACATTTATGAGAATGCAGTTAAAATTAAATTGTAATGGATGTAATATTATTCAGGGAAAAAAGTATGGAAAAGTATTTGTCGTTGGGCCCATTTTCAAATAAGATCATGTGTTTCATTTTTATCAAAGTGATTCGTTTTTTTAAAAGGCCCAAATTTAAATGCTACACAAGATCCGAAAATCTTAAATATTGTACACATGATCAAAATTGATTAGAAAGCAAAGTGATGCATCGATGAGGTCTGATTATTGCTTTTTAGTAATGTACTACGTACGTAATTCACAAGCCAAGCTCATACGAAGTACTCCATATCACTAACTTGATCATCAAGTACTCCATATTATTTAACAACTAACGAAGTTAAGGGTAAAATAGCCACTTAAAAAGTGAGGTTTCATTTTCTAAAAGTAATGTACAACTCTCCAAGCTCAAAGTGTGTTGACATAAATTAAGGGTACTAACACCTATTCCCAATTATAATGTTTTTAGATGTATGAATGGAATGAGTTTGAACAAATATTTGGAACTGGATTTTGGAGCTTGGACCAATCTATTACCCTTCACTCCTTCCATATTTCTTCACTGTTTTCCTCCTTTTCTTTTCCCTAGTATTTTTGGGGTTTCAAACGGTTCCTAAATGTTTGTTCATGCTGTCAGTAGGGACCTTTCATCCCCCTGGTCATTCCATCAACAGTTTTTCAAGCAGGACTATGGTCAACATGGCTGGTTGTCCTTTGTTCTTTAAAGGTATTGATGTTCAAATTATAATTTTTTTGTTTTTAATTTTCCAATTTCTGTTGGCAAATGGATCATTGTGCTGCTATGGTTTTTACTATACAGATGTTTCAAGCATTAGCCAGGGATCGCCTTGAACGCTTGAATGCTTCTCCCAGTGCTACACCTTGGACCTATTTTCGTGTTTATTCTATGCTTCTCCTGGTTTTTTCCTTGGACATGCTCTGGTGCTTCCTGATTTCTCTATATGCTGTATTCATTGTCAAGAAAATGAATTATATACGTATGGTAGAATTCATGATTGAGTTGGTAACTTAACTGGGTTACAACACACATGACCCAGATAACACCAGAAAACGGTATCAACTCAATTAGTTAGTCTTACCTTAGACATTATGAACACATACGTCTCACTTTAGTATATGGATGCTGGACTCTCTTTAAAACTTAATGAAGTACTTTAGTGCGATAAATGCATGATTTGAAACAGCAGTTGCTATTTGCTAAATTACATATCTATATGTGATGTTCTTTGTTAAATTAAGCTTCTCTAAATCGCAGATGGATAAAGTTGTAGCGTTTTTTGTTAATTATTAAAATGGTTGTCATGAAGTCTTATTTATACTTTTTGTAGGATAAAGCTGTGCCTGACCATATACAGCACAATAAGTTCACCAATATATTTATTGCTGTTCTTTGAACCTCTTAGCATTGCCTTTGAGACGCTTCAGGTAGTCAAGTGAGAGTCTTAGATAGAAAAGGGGAAATTTCAACTTTGCACCCCATTTTTAAAAGCATTAATGCGTGCAATACTGCACCCATCCAATTTAAAAAGTTAAATGTTTGCTGTTTGCACCTTATCCCTTCACATTTTTGGAATGATGGAGTGCATGTAACAACTTTTCTGAAAATGGGATGCGAAGTCATATTCCCCCACAAAACTGTTTGGTTCTATTTTTGAAATAATTTTAAATAGGCTCACACTGAATTTTTGTATGCCAATGTTCCTCCTAGGCTATTCTGGTTCATAGTTTTCAGTTGCTTGATATATGGCTTCACCACTCTTCAGGAAGTATTGCAAATAGTCAAACAACTAAGCTATTTGATGTTTCTGCTGCAGGTATGCATTATTTTGTTTTCTTAATTTTGTCTGTCACTATGTGCTTCAGTTCAATTAATAATTAACTTATAGTGGCTTGTTCTCTCTAGTTTCGTTTGGAAGAAAATCTCCCTTTACACCCCCATAATCAGTATGATGCTTTATCTTCTTATTATTATTGGGAAAACTGTCAAATAGGTCCTCGAACTTTCATAAAAAGGTCAAATAAGTCCTTATATAGGAGGTTTTGTCCGGCCGTCGTGATTTGGGGCGGTTCCCGGTGGAACGTTTTTATGAAAATGTTTGAGCATCTTATTCATCAACTCTAGTTTACTCATACCAAATTTCAGCTAAAACTTCAATCGGGAACGCATTCAAATTAATTCTTGAAGATAATTGCGCATTTGACTGCACAGTTATCTTCAAGAATTAATTTGAATGCGTTCCCGATTGAAGTTTTAGCTGAAATTTGGTATGAGTAAACTAGACTTGATGAATAAGATGCTCAAAAATTTTCATCAAAAAATTCCACCGGGAACCACCCCAAATCGCGACGGCCGGATAGAGCCTCCTATATAAGGACTTATTTGACCTTTTTATGAAAGTTCGAGGCCCTATTTGACAGTTTTCCCATTATTATTTGATCTTCCATATGAGACTCGGAAAATGCAAGGGAATAAAAATGGGTCGGAAACTGTAGATGCAATTTGTAAGGAAACCAAATGGGAGGGAAATAAAAAGCATTGCCTCAAAATGATTTTAGTATTTGTAAAAATTTATTTTATTTAAATATTTCAATTATATAAGGACTACAGTACTACACAATTAAATAGTTCTAGAAAAATTTAAATTTTGAATTCTATTTCATTCTCTTCGTTTTTCCAAGACTAAACCAAACATTAAGAAACCAATTATATTAGTTTTTTTCCCCTTTTCCTTGACAATTTTCCGAGTTCCAATTTCCAAATATGGCATGAGTAATTTAGGATAAAGGAAATTATCTTTATTAAAGGGTTACAGAGCTCCCTAGTTTATCTGTAAATTCATATTTTGTCAGACATTTTTAAATATTTTCTAGTGCTGCAAATGCAGGTTCATTCTTGGAATGGAAATGCATTCTTATTCGAAACTTAGGTTTTTTCCTGGACATGATGACATTGTTGATGGCCCTTGCGCACTATGTGCATATTTGGTGGCTTCATGGCATGTCATTTCATCTTATGGATGCAATCCTTTTCCTTAACATCCGTGTAAGTCTTTCATAGATCAATTTTTTCTTGTTCTTTTTCATGCTTTTCATACTTTGCTCATTGGTTCAAAAGGGGAAACTTGCCTCTTTGGCCTTCTAATGGTTTGTCATTATGTAATGCACACATGTATGGAGTATGTTTTTATATTTTGTAGATTCACCCTCTTAGTTGTCTTTATTTATTAAAATTAGCTGCTGTCAATAAATCTAGTGTTTGTTTTGTTGATACAGAGTATTAAGGTTTATTGGGGGTGGGGGCATATTTGACATTCTCTATTGCTTAGAATCCCCCCTTATATACCATGATACTAGACAGTGATTAATTTTAATGGCACTGATTAGTTCTATTTCAATCATCACAATTTAGGGACTATTTTTAGAAAATTAGTCTAAATTAAATAATGCCTAACATCTGAAGGACTAAAGTGTTGGTTTATCCTCAAAAAGCATCATTTTTTTCCTGCTAATTGTGAGTTCTTGTTGATTCCAGGCCTTATTGAGTGCAATTGTGAAACGAATAAAAGGATTTGTTAAATTGAGAGTAGCATTGGGTACTCTTCATGGTGCACTTCCTGACGCAACATGTGAAGAGCTGCAAGCATATGACGATGAATGTGCTATTTGCCGGGTAGTGACACTTTGATGTTCATTGGGGTGGGGGGAGTCACTTCATATAGGTGTTTATACTTTAGATTCTGTTAAGTAAGACTTAAAATGAGTGAAGTGGTTGCTGGAGTGCTTAAAATTGTGGCTGAACCTTTTGTGAATAATCATAAATCATTTAAAATGTATATTTAAAAAATCAAGCTAAAGATAGCTGAAAAAATAGATAAAAGCATCATTTTAGCAAAAGAGCAACTCCTGCACTACTTATTTTTTTTATTATAGCCGAGATCAGCTAGCGCAATATTTGATGAAAAAAATTGCTGATAAGGAGGATTAGACAAAAGTAGAGCCAACCAAATGGTCTATCAGATACAATTCTTTTGAATAACTTAACATGTGGGTGGATGGATGCTGGCAGGAACCAATGGCCAAGGCTAAGAAGCTCTCTTGCAATCATCTCTTCCATCTTTCCTGCTTGCGATCTTGGTATGTCCCTTGTTTATCCCGGGGGTTTCATTTGTTATGTTTGTTCACCCATCACCGCCATCAAGCGTAATATGTTCTCAATTCATTAATACTGGCATTGGTCATCTTTATCAGGCTGGATCAAGGTCTAAATGAAAATTATTCGTGCCCTACTTGCCGGAAGCCACTTTTTGTTGGCAGAGCCGAAAATGAAGTGAATAGCCAAGCTGCCCAAGTTTCTGGAGATGAACAGCTTGCACGTCAAATGAGTCTGGTACTTGACCGGTCAAATCTTCCTGGTCATCCCCATCCTACTGAAGTTTTCCACAATCACCAACAGAACCCTTTGGAAAACCGTGAATGGAGGTTTCATTGCTTTCATTCTTTTTATGTGCTTTATAAGTAAGCCATATTTTAAATAATAAAATGAGCAGTGGCAGTGTTTTTTATCTGCCGGATGCAGAATGCTAATGGCATTTGCTCAATAATTAAGTGTTAGCCGGTTGTTGTAGCTGTTTGACAGGTTGGTCATAGCACAAAATCATATTTGGTAAAATGACATTTAAAAGTGTGTTTAAATAAATATCATTAATTTTGAGAAAATTCCTTAAACAGGACTAAAACCTAGGCAAAGTGCACAAATAGGACTATCATTGTTTTCTTCCTAGAATAGGATTCGTTTACTCCTAAATGAAGAAGTTTTATGCTTTTAAATTTTCAATAGGATCAAATAATTTCTATTTTGGGAATAAAACATTGTTAGTCCTATTTGTGCACTCAATCTATGTTTTAGTCCTATTTGTAGCAATATCTTTTAATTTTATAGCATAACAATGTATGATATTTACAATTTTACATTTATGAAAACTATGTACAGATAAATAATAGTTTAATTTATTTTCAAATATTAATATTTATTAATGACTATAAATTATTTCCAATTAGAATAGTTGTTACTTAAAATTTATTTTTTAAATTGGTTTAGTTATTCATACTTATTTATTTTCATAATAATTAAAAAATCAATGAGCAGAAAAAGGCCGCTACCCATGGCTTAATCGAACCACCATATTTGCCTTTTTAAAGCTCAACAAGCTTATTCGCAAGGCCATTTACTAAACACCCATTAAGATTTTATGCTAGTCAACCAATCAAACCTACCCAAAAGTTGCTGATAAGCCACCAAACAAGGCCATTGGCTGAGATATGCTGCTTATTTTCTTGTCCTTTATTCATCATACTATCATAGAGGGGCTGGTGTGGATTCAAGTTGGTTGAGTTTGGACGGGGCGAGCTCCTCGACAAGCGTAAGATCGGGGGGATTTAGTAGAGTTCAAATGATGATGCGACATCTTGCAGCCGTGGGAGAGACATATGCCCAAACTGCCCTTGAAGATGCTGCCTGGAGTCTTTTATCTATGCATCATTCCTCCCAGGCCAGTACATCCACTTCACCCACCCCACCCGTGAATCATGATAGTGATAGTAGTTTGCGCTTGAGAACCCCACATGGGGGCGTAAATGACAACAATTTATCACACTTAATGGCAATGGCTGAAACTGTTAGGGAAGTTTTGCCTCATATCCCGGATGAAATCATATTCCAGGTTTGTCTTTTTAATTTGTTCTTCTCATCCTTTAAATACGAGTTGGGAACTTAGTATGTACCCTGTGCGCAATAGACATTAGACAACTTGCTTGTGCTAGTAGACCCTAATGCTGTAAAAATGCTAGCATCAAACTGGGGCCGAATACCTAGTCTAGATCATTCGGAGGTAGGTGGGGTAAGTGGGAAAAAGGTCAAAAAACTTGCCTGTCTGAAAGACGTTTTATGGTCTATCCGTCTTTTAAGAAGAATTTTCATCTAACGCTAAGAGTCCTCTTGCTAAACTATCTAAAACAATTCTTTTTAAACTTGAACATAATATATTTGAAAATGGAGCTTGAAGTGCCATTTTCATAAATTTCTGGGTTATGGATTGCAGGATTTGCAGAGGACAAACTCACCGACTCTTACTGTGAATAATCTCCTACTAATGTGATCCGAATCGGTGATGCTCTTCCTTGATGACATATTTATTACATACGTGGATGAGTAAGGTAGGATGCAGCTGAGCTGCATGCCAGGTTCCACACCATCTGTTGTAATTTGTTGTATCTTGAGATAGATTATATAATACATAACTACATAAGCTTCATTTTTTGTATATAGATGGAAGCAGTTCTTCATTTGTTAACCAAACTTCCAGTTAACATTATTGGAGAAATAATTCCTTATAGTAAACAACAAACAAATACAAGCACGATCGTCTCTGTGCATGAGCCTGCTTCATTTTCGTTTTCTGTTTGTTTTTATATTGGATATACGATAGTATTAGATTTGATAATTTGATCTTAATAGTTGTACCTTTTCCTGCTTATGATTGCTTATAATTAAGAGGTAAACCTTTCACTTTATTGAAAATTATTCAACCTTTGTACTCTTCTAATATCGGTTAGGGTGGCTATGAGCCAGTTCCGATCCGGTTATGAACTTGCATGTTCCTTGTCCCAAATTCCCACGTACCCGGAACTGGAACTTGGGAAAATCCTGTTTTGGTCCCAAACCAATTCTGATTCAGCCCCATTGACCCATATTACCTAGGGAAAATGGAAACTAATAATCCAACCTTTTAGCGGTCTTCTTACAATAGTCCCACCTTTTCGTTATTCAAGAATAATTCAACCTTTGCACCCCATCTTCATTCGCTGATCCTTGACCGGTTAAGGACTTGCTATTCCAACTTATTTTCTTATTTTTGCAAAATATTATTTTTGTGAAAGGTAAAATTTATGGTATAATGGTTTGCAAAGATAAGAAAATAATTTGGAATAGCATGTCATCAACCGTTCAGGAACCAATGAATGAAGATGAGATGCAAAAGTTGGATTATTCATGAATAACGAAAAAGAGGGACTATTGTAAGAAAACCGCTAAAAAGTTGGATTATTCATGAATAACGAAAAGGTGAGACTATTGTAAGAAGACCGCTAAAAGATTGGATTATTACTTTCCATTTTCCCTATTACCTATTCAAAAAAGTTAATGAAACTTTACTTGGTCTGGTCTCAATTTAGGCAGGTTAATACGGGTACCGGTTGCCTTTTAAAAGTTTAATGCACCACTCTATCATGTTATACGCATTATGCACCTTAGTCACTTGATTTAAAAAAATGCTCGAAACTCCACTTATTATGATCAATCATGTGCAAAACCTTCCCCAAGAATGAATCTAGTAATGTGTAGTAATCTGTAAATGTCTTAATATTATGATTAAATTTGCAAGTAAATTTTAGAAGATCTGTACATTGCACAGAAATAGTAATCGTTTTTATTTTATTTGTCAATTAAATTAGTTCTTGCAGGGCTTTTGTGCATGATTAATTATTACGCATAACATAGGGGTTTGACTCATTTTTTAAATCACTGAAATAATGCGCAAAATTTATACTTCGTACTCCCTCTGTCCCTCAATACTTTGCCAAGTTTGACCGGCACGAGGATTAATAAAGTAAAAACTGTGTGGTTGAGGTTTGTGCAGAGGAGAGAGAATTAACTGGAACCACAAATTCTTTACTTAAAATGGAAAGTAGCAAAGTTAGTGGGACGTCCAAAAAATGAAAGTTGGCAAAGTTATAAGGGACGGGGGGAGTATATTATAAGCATTGTTTTAAAAAATGGCTTAGTCAGTCTGATTAATCTCTCTAATCTCTAATCTCTATAGGCTCTAGGTGGTCTCTAACTGTGGAGATTAGCCGATCAAGTCGGTCAAAAAATTGGCATAGTAACACCTAGTTGGTGCCTTGGTCCTAGGCACCTTCAATCCCTCTAGTAAACTAGTTGGTGCCTAGTTGGTTTAGTGCATTAAACCTTTGCTTTTTGCATAACTCTAACGAAGTAACATGGTAAGCTTGGTTGTAACTCGTAACCATGTAACTAAGTATTGTGTCATTTGGTAGGCGGGGTATAGTATTAGAGGAAGGGGATGTGAATTTTGCTATCTGGCAAACTCCGAAAGAAGAGAAAAATACTGGAATAGTAAACTAAAAAGTTTACTAGCGTGTAGCTCATTTTTTGGCAAGAGTAGTCATTTTATAATACTACGTAGCTGATTTTCCCTCAAAGGAAGTAACAATTTTTTTTTATATTCGGTGAATGCTAGATGAACAAAAAATCCTTGGTAAAGTGTTATTTATCTGTACAGTAATAGACCTAATAAATCTAGAATGCAATAACATTTTTTCTTCGAAAGCCACTTTCGGTAAACAATTATTACAAGTATCTAGAAGGCGTGTTATATCAGGCCCGCAAAAGAAAATGGTCAAGTTATTATTCCGTAGAACATTTTGTCAATTTTCAGTAACACAATTAGTATGACCTAACTATTGGTCTCATCATCATTTATTATAGAAGTGATTACCAATAAGACTAATAATGATAATGAGTTAATGACAACAAACTGAAATGACTTGCAACAAAATACGGGTTAATTTCCAACCTCCCTAGTAATAATGTTATTAATTAATTGGATTGATTTTTTTGGGTAGGTTTAGAGCTCGTTTGGTAACTTTGTTTTTCGGCTTATTAGTCAACATTTTCACCAAACAAGTAACTTTTAATTTCACGCACAGAATAGTGTAATAATAACAAAAAGTAAGGTTGGAGTTACTTTTCTGGCTGTATTGACTGAAGTTACCGTAGATGACAATTTTAGCTATTTTTTATGTATATTTTTATTTAATTTATTAATAAAATATATTTTAAATATAATTTGTTTTTATAAATTAACAGAATCAGTCAATCCGGCCACTTTAGCCAGAACTTCATAAATTTCAGCAGAATCAGTCGATTTAGCCATCAGTGTTAACAAACGGACTCTTAGTTTTGTCCGAACTACGACATAATCTAGTTTAATAAACGCCTGATCTCTGTGTATTGTCCGAACTATCGAAATCTGATTTGATCTGTATAAGTCTGATCTAATATGTGACGGGAAACCGGCCAAGTAATTTAAGTAAGCCCATAGAGGTGGCCCATCTAATATGAAATGCAATTGCGGCCCACAATTAAGATGAACGAATTAAACGCCCGCACGTTCCTCAACCGTCAATAACCGTCACGCCTTTATAGCGTCCTCCCGTTCGCATAATTCTCCAACCATTTTGAAACGTGCGCGACGCCGTCAACTGATCAGAACCCAAAAATGGTGAAGCCTATGAGAAGTACCATCAGAAGACGGAAGAGGCTCTCCGGGAGCGGCGCTCGTTTCCGGCGCTGGTCAGAGCCCCGAACTTCCACTGACGACGGCGGCGGAACGGGTGATGATTATTCCTCTTCATTGTGTTCCTGCAGCGATTCGAGCCTGGATAGCGGCGAAGACGCCAACAACGTTGGGAAAGTGGACTTCAGGAAGTATGGGTTTACGGTTTTCGACGTCCCGGAAGAGCTGACAGGACGGCGGGCTTTCGAGAATGCGGCGGCGAGTGAACGGAAACGGGAAGGCGGCGGCGGCGGATGGGAGAGGGTGTTGGGTGGCGTTGGGAGTTACTACGGGACGTTGATAAGCGGCGCGGCGTTTGGGGCGGTCTCTATGGGAATTTTCATGGTTAGATTTTTTGGTTGTTTTTACAATGTTGATGACCACCTGGGTTCTCTTACTCCCACATGAAAATATGTGTTTCACATTAATGGAGAAAACACGGTAAAAAGTTAAAGTGTAATTTATTTATTAGAGAATTTTAGATGTTATTTCAATCTTGAGAACGGTTTCATTTGGTGTTTAATTTAATGTTCACTTCTATACACGAATTGTCTTTATACTTCGTATGTGTAAAAACGAACTTCTCACTTTTGTAGATGCTGAACTGTGTGTGTAACAGTGTAAGATATACGGAGTACGTAGTAGAGAATATAATAATGTATAAAATGTATAGTATACTATAGTAGTATAGTACTACGTAATGTACTTTTTATACGTAGTACTCCTTCTGTCCCGCTAACAATGGGAATGGAGTGGCACGCATCTTTATATATATAAAGATCCTATGGTGGGATTTCAGGTGGGATCTATTTGGAGTCAAAACATGTGAAAAATTGTTGTCTCAATTAAATATCTATCTTAATACTTCATCAATGCACTTTCACTTACGAAAACATGCATAATACTAGCTAATTAGTATTTTAACTTCAATAATACGTAGTATTTGCTAAAGTAGTAGTTGGGTAATACGGAGTACTAAAACTAATTGAGTACTCCGTATAATAATAATTAGTGGAATACTTTTTTTGAAGATTTAAAAAATGTTTTCAAATGTTTTTGCTTAAAAAAACACTTTTTGAAATTATTTTGGAAAAAGTGATTAGTAGTAAAAGTTAGTATCACTTGAGAGAGAAAATGTTTTTGAAAAGTAAAAGGTGACAGTGTTTGGTAAAATATGCGCTTTTTGTGTAGTAGTAAAAGTAAAGAGCAGTTTTCAGCCAAAAGTCAAGAAACGTTTATTTAAGTAGAAGTCATTTGGAAACACTAATTTTAGCCTTTTAAGCCAAAAGTCGAGAATCGCTTTTTTAAGTATTTGCAAACGCTCTCTTAGGGGTTATTCCATTAGCCGGATAGGAATGTTTTTATTTGAATTTTTAATATTTCATATGATCTGAGTTTTTTTAGCTGATCAGAAACTTTTTTTTTATCTGAATCAATCTCACTCAGATCTAAATATTGCTAATGTAATTAGATGTTTATTATTGCTGCGGTTATTTTTGTTATTATCATCACTATTATTGTGATTAAATTTATAACTATAATAATAGTTAGAACTATAACTATACATCTAAATCTTTCTCATGTGAACTTAATTTTTCCGATTTGATCTAACTTGAATTGTCCCTTATTTGATCTGGTCTGAATAAAATAAAAATAAACAATAAGCAATAAGAATAAGGTAAAGTAATTAAAATACCTCAAACTTTAAAAGGAGTGTGAATTAAGCACCCCAAACTTGCATATATAATTTAAATACCCCAACCTTAATGTAAAAAGTTCTTTTAGCACCAGTCATGTATTATTTCTTTCAAAATTGTTAATTTTTTGTGTAAGTTTCACAATTTCAAATATTTTAGCATTCTAAAAAATACAATTAACATTCTAAACTTCCATTGCAAAATAAATAATAATTCCCCCACTAGAGTGAACAATTGCAACATTTTTAATTTGTTATTTTAAATTATGCAATTAACACCATAAATAACATTTTTGAAAGGAATAATATAGGACCATATTGCTAAAATAAATTTTACATAAAGTTTGCGGTATTTAAATTACATATGAAAGTTTGGAGTGTTATCTCACACTTCTTCAGAGTTTAGGTATTTTGATTATTTTTCTCATAAAAATATGACGAACACAATAACTTCTCAGTGACAGTTAGTAACTACAAATTAGAAAAGTCACATTCATAAATTAAAAATCATAAAACTTACCCTTACTCTGTCTCATGAAACTTTGCTAACATTCGTTATTTTTGTTATCTCAAAAATTTATAATCCCTTTGTCTCATAAAAAATTATACGAAATATGAGAAAAAACTAAAATGGTTGATAAGTTTGATAAACCGTAAACATATATAGATCACCAAAGGGTTCCTAGATTTCCCGTGCAACGCACGGGTTTATCGTCTAGTACCAATACAAACTGATAAAGAAGTAATTAAAGAGAGCCATATTCAATTAAAGCAAATAAATTTAAGGGTAGTTGATTGCTTAATACGCCTTTACTTCTAAAAGTAAAGGTCAAGTCATTCCAAAAGTAATTGTACTTCTACACAATGTTACAGACCCATGTGGCCATGTGCGGACCACAAAGAAAAATTAAATACACTTCTCCAAAGAGTTGGCTATGAATTCTTCCGTCCTTTTCTGGCTTTCTGGACTGCAACGGGGATAACAAGAGCTTGGAATGAAACTTTGGTTTCCTGCTACAGCTCGAACGGTAGCGCAAGGGTCATCTGATTTGCTTTCATCTTCTTCAACCTCGGAATCAGACACATAATCAAGATGACATTCGCTATCTTCAACGATCAATTCTTCAATTTTAACAGGGATTTTAGGGGTACCTATCTTTTGGGGTAATATGTACGTCACTATAAATTCATCAAGCCGCTTCTGCATTTCTGGACTCCAATAGAGATGAGATGAGATCGGAATCCCTTCTACAGCTCGAACACCAGCCCAGGACTCAGCATCTGATTTGATTTCATCCTCTTCAACCTCGGAATCGGACACATAACCCAGAGGGTCGTCTCTGTCGAACGACATCTGATTACAACGATATATGGGATTATGGTTAGGAAGAAAGTGGAAAACCTATGAACAAATTAATCGGAGCAGATTTGTGAGTTCTTGAAGATGAATAAGCTATGGAGAAAATACATCGTAAATGGAAAAGTAAAGTGTGTAATGGGAAGAGGTGGGTGGATGTAATCTGACGTGATGGATAATGGGAAGAGGTGAGGTGTAATGGGAAAATGTAATGGGTAGGTAGGATTAATTAATGTCAAAATAATTAAGGTAAGTAATTAACATAAAGTAAACATGTCATTTCAAAAGTTAAAGTAGAGATAAAGTAGGAAAAAGTTTCCAAATATAGTATGGGACAATCATAGTGGGACGGAGGGAGTACATAGTTTAAAAAGTTTACTAAAAATGTGTACATTTGACTAAGGATGTTTTTCGTTGGATAGTTTTCAGTCTCAGAACAGACCAACAAATTTTGATCCAAAAGAGAACATTTTAAGTACATTATGGTCTGATGACATCACTTGATCTTCCAAAGTGGAGGTCACAGACCATAACATTATCCTGAACAAATTAAATATAAATTATAATAGCTTAGGTTTAGGAAGATTTCCCAAAAAAGTACATTTTGAAGTTTTCCCAAAGTGGGGGTCGCCGGCCTTGTTTATTTTCATGCAAAATTATTGTTAGATATCATAGATATTTTTTTTTACTTGACTTGGCTTTATTTAGTTTCAGACAGAATAATTAAATTAGTCCAAATCAAATTTAAACATATCAGATCAGACTTAAACGAATGATGTTAACATTTGTAACAGACTAAGAATTAAGTAAAATTTCTGTATATTAATATATTATACTCTATAGTATCACTTCGATATATACGAAGTATTAACAAATATACATTACAATGTACAAAACTTTTGGAAGGTCACGGACGCGGCGGTGTGTCGTCTTCCTTCGATATTCCCGCCACCAAGCACTATGTCGCGGTGGTGTATCTTCCTTTGAATCATAGAAGTATAGAACAATATGGAGTAAAATTTTACGACAAAATAAGGTATCCTTTAGGTCAGTGGTACAGAGGTAGAAAACACATTAGTCTCAGGTGGTAAAAAGTTTTTACATATTTTTTACATATTAAAGTGTCTTTTTATATGGTATTCAAAATGCAATCAATTATCTATTAAGTCATCAATTTTAATTTAGCAGATGTAATGAATATTAATACCCCGTAGAACGAATTTGGCTTTATTTTAAAAGCAATTGTTTTACTATCTGCTTAAATTGCAAGGAAAATAAAAAAAAATTGGGCAAGCCAACTAGCCAAAGCCCCCGAGCCCTATAGGTATCCGGAGGCTCTGCCTTGCTTTAGAGCCAGAAACGATGCTCGGCTTTTCAGAACTCTTTGATCAAAACTTGAATCGTTGTAGATTTTGAGATTCACATCTCGAGACGTCATGTTTCGATTTGACGGTCCCTCTGCTGCAAAGCACTCTACCGCACAGCCGAGGATCTCAATCCTTATAGTTACCTTTGTCCCCGGAGGCCATTAGGTGTAGGAATTTAGAACAAATAATAGGAATATTGAGTAGTATAAAAATGTAATTAAAAAGATTATATAAGGGAGATTTTCACAAATATGAGCAAAACATACTCAAGTTCCAATAACAAGAGTGAGTGTTTGAAATTTTCTAAATATGACTTATTATTTATGACTGAATAAAAATAGTCTTATAGGGTTATTCTTAAAAAAAAGTCTTATAGGGTGTGAGGTTTGGTCACCGGACTTTTATTGGACCTGGCCGGCCGCCATACTTTTGCCGTCCGACCGTTAGAGTGCCACCGCTGTCATTGAAAAGCCTTAACTACGTTGGGGAAGTAGAGGGCAATGATTTAAAGATAGACATGTAATCCGTAATTATATTTAGTTTCGTTTTAGGAGTATAATATACGGAGTAATACATATAGGCTATGTTTAGCACAACGAGCTGGAACTGGAGGCTAATGTCTGAAATAGGGGCTATTGTCTGAACCAGAGACTATTGTCTGGAGCTGAACTTTGGAGTACTGAATCTGAATTGCTAACTTAATGAAGTAGCTAGACCTTTTTGGCAAAAAGAGCTGAAACATTGCAGTGATAATATGAAATGACATTAAAGGACATATGAAAATTTAATATAGTATAGTATAGCATAGCATAGCATAGCATAGCATAGCATAGCATAGCATAGCATAGCATAGCATAGCATAGCATAGCATAGCATAGCATAGCATAGCATAGCATAGCATAACATAGCATAGCATAGCATAGCATAGCATAGCATAGTATAGTATAGTATAGTATAGTATAGTATAGTATAGTATTATAGTATAGTAAAGTATAGTATTATAGTATAGTATAGTATAATATAGTATAGTATAGTATAGTATAGTATAGTATAGTATAGTATAGTATAGTATAGTATAGTATAGTATAGTATAGTATAGTATAGTATAGTATAGTATAGTATAGTATAGTATAGTATAGTATAGTATAGTATAGTATAGTATAGTATAGTATAGTATAGTATAGTATAGTATAGTATAGTATAGTATAGTATAGTACTCCCTCTGTCCCGATTTGGATGTCTTCTTTCGTTTCGGCACGCGTTTTTAGGAAAAAAATTGATGACCGACTTTACCCCCACATTGCCCTCATCTCCTTTCAGACAAATGCATAAATGTGGACCCAATTTTGTTTATCACCGTTTCTTTTTCCCCTGACACACCCACTACAAGTTGTTTTAATTTATCTCACCAGCCTTTTAATCTCACCTTCATCTATATATACGAACCATCCCTTACCTTTCATTTTTACACCTTATTCAACTACCACCACAAATTCTTCCATTTTCTCTCAAAAAAATACTCTGTGATTCTATTCTTATGGGTTCAGCCATGTATTTCATTCCAAGACAATTCAATTTTAGTGGATTAGCAATTGGGGAGATCGATTTGCATACACCTAAGTTCGCAGTTCATTTGCAGGTTTTTTCGTTAATTTTTTAGGTATTGTATTGTAGTCTGTATTTTACTGTTTATACTCATTACAGAGCTGTTTGAAAACGTATATAGGAGTATATACGGATGAAAATAATCTTCAAAATTTTGCGCGCCAACTTCTTCCGCCAAAAGTTATTCTGATTTTTTCAATAAAATAAAAACGGAGCATTCAGTGACGACCTCTCTTTCAAGATTAGGAAATTCCACCTCTCTGGTTATTTTGTAGACTTCTAAATCCTTTCTAAATCCTTCTGCTTTTCTTGATAATGGAGATTGTAGAATTGGAAGGCTCTGAGGAATACCAAGATTCTAATTCAAGCCAAAGAATTTCAAAGGATGAAAGAAAAATTATGTTTGAAGCTTTGCTAAAACAGAGTGTGAATGGAAAAGTAAAACATGGATCAATTAAAGATCTGGCTACTTTTCATTCTGTATCGAAAAGGACTCTTAGCAGAATATGAAAAAAAGGGATCACAGGTATAGGAAATGGTGAGGCTGCTGATGTCTCATTGAATTTGTTAGGTAATGTTGGCCGGAAAAGAATCCAATTCAATCCCGAGGATGTTGCACGAATTCCATTAAATCGGCGAACAACAATTCGCTCCACTGTTGCAGCATCACAAATGTCAAAAACAAGTCTTCACAGAAGAGTTAAAGAGGGCTCCCTCAAATCTCACTCAAATGCTATAAAGCCCTTTTTAACGGAGGAAAACCAAAAGGTAAGACTGAAGTTCTGCATATCTATGCTTGATTTAAACTCATCTCCTAGTAATCCATCTTTTATAGATATGTATGATCGTGTTCACATAGACGAAAAATGGTTTTACCTTTCAAGAACATCTCAAAAATATTACTTGCTGCCCGATGAAGTTGAGCCATATCGTACCTGTAAAAGTAAAAGATTTATTACAAAAGTTATGTTTCTGTGTGCTGTTGCCCGACCTCGATTCGATTCAACAAGAAATGAAATGTTTGACGGAAAAATTGGAATTTTTCCCTTTATTTATAAAGAAGCAGCGAAGCGTAGGAGCAAAAACCGGAAAGTCGGAACTATAGAAACTAAGTCAATCGAATCTGTAACTAAAGAAGTTACAAGAAAATGGTTGATTGATCGTGTGTTACCGGCTATTCGAGCAAAATGGCCTCGAAGTAGTTCAAAGACAATATATATCCAACAAGATAACGCACCGCCTCACACTGCTATAAATGATACTGAGTTTGTTGAGGCTGCACAGAAAGATGACTTCGATATTCGCTTAACATTCCAACCCTCAAACAGCCCGGACATGAATGTTTTAGATCTTGGTTTTTTTAGAGCACTTCAATCCTTACAATATCAAGAGGCTTCACGTAATGTGGATGAGCTGATTTTTGCTACTCAGAAGGCTTTCAATGAGATCTCAATAGAAAGTCTTGGCAATGTCTTTTTGACACTTCAACTTTGCATGATTGAAGTCATGAAAAAGCTTGGAGGGAATAACTATAAGGTGCCACACATTAACAAGCAAAGATTAGAGCGAGAGGGGATATTGCCTACAACTATTTCATGTGATTTGGATGTTCTGAATGGAGCAATTTTGAGGTTGCAATAGCACTTCAAGGTGTACGTGTTTGTCATATGCTTTGTAGTACTCCATAAAAGGTTTGTTTTGTGTTGTACATTTTGATTATTTTTGTTGGAATTGTTTTGTATGGAGTACAGAGTACTCATATATTCAAAGGAATGTAAGAATCAAGTACGTTGTTTTTTGTATTTTTGTGTTAACGACTTGTATGAACTAGGTATTGTGTATAAATGGCTTTATTGTGACAAGATTAACCTTAATGTGTTTGGGTTAATTGTTGTAAAAAACATTTTTTGATCTATGTATACTGTGAATCTATATAGTCATTTGATCTATGTTGTAAAAAGCATTTTTTTAATTACCAGGTTCAAATTAAAATGATTAAGCCAGGTTCATTTTTTTGATCTGCGGGTTAATTATGGAGTATTTCATTAAGCCAGGTTTAAGCATGGATATCACTGGTGTGATTTGGAACTTCACTGGCTATCTAGTGGCATGTATTGTGAATTGAGAGTCCATATAAGTCCTCAAACTATATTTGCATATGAGATATGTCCCACCATCAAACAACCCTATATAGTTCATGCGGAGCATTTTTATTGAAAAGAGAGCAGTTAGTTCATGCGAAGCATTTTTATTGAAAAATGAAAGAAGAAAATTTTTGTGATGTTTAATTGATGTGGGGTTTGGTTTAAGTAAAATGTAGCTAGAGCATAAAATAAAGACAATATAAAAGGTGAAGTTGATTGATATGAACAGTGGGTAGTACGAAGTACACTTATAATCTCGGAAAGCTCAAAGGGCAAATGGGGGAAAACATAATATAATTGGTGTTCATAAAAGGAAAGTAGACAGAGTTTTGGGACGAACTAAAAAGGAAAGTAGGACAGGTAAAATGGGACGGAGGGAGTATAGTATAGTATAGTATAGTATAGTATAGTATAGTATAGTATAGTATAGTATAGTATAGTATAGTATAGTATAGTATAGTATAGTATAGTATAGTATAGTATAGTATAGTATAGTATAGTATAGTATAGTATAGTATAGTATAGTATAGTATAGTATAGTATAGTACATTAAAGTATAGTATAATATTGTATAATATAGTGCATTGATTTCAAAAAAACCACAACATTGGAGAACGCGATTAGAAATAAAAAATCATAAAATTAACATTTTAGTTGGAAATATCTGTAATAGATAAATATGCAAACATGAACATTGTCATAATTGACTAATCAGAGTGAAAATATCTAATGTCTGTTAGCCCATATCAAGGATGCTATATTGTTGCGATGTTCCTTCATCTCACTGCAACTTTGTGTTTGTGAACTGGTGGTACTTGAATTTGAGCTCTGAATATCAACAAGATCATCACGTGGTATGTAGTCTGGATGGCTCTCGAGAACCTCAAATATCAAGTCATCGCTAGAGAAGTTGCGAATATAATTGTGCAAAGCAAATGTTGGCATAATAACGTCTGTGTTTTAACGCTAAACATAGGCATTCTTGATAAAATTTTCCACCTCTTTTTTAAAACACCAAAAGAACGCTCTATGCAACTACGAAGAGATGAGTGTGAGCGATTGAACGCTTCTTGAGCATTTGTTGGTGCTTCGTTTTCAAATTGTTCCAAGTGGTATCGTAGCTTGGGATAAGGAACGAGATAACCTTAGCTTTTCGATCTGGATAGCCTTTATCCACCAAGTAATATCTACCTACATAAATTTTACAAATATGATAAAAATATGTATATGAATCTAACAAATTGACAATAAAACATACCTTCAGGTGGATATGGAAAGTTCAATGAGGGTGTCTCAATAGCATGAAGGAATACACGTGTATCATGGGCTGATCCCTCCAGCCCTACCGATAAAAATGTAAAACACATGGTGAAATCACACACAGCCATAACATTAAAGGTTGGGACACCTTTTCTTACTCTATAGCGAAGTTGATCCTTTACTGGGATGCACGCTGCTATTGTGTTCCATCAATACACCCGATGCAATCCTTGAAATTAATAAGGCATATATCTTTTATCCTTTGAGATATGATAAGGGACATACGGAAAGGCCCGATCAGTTAGTGCAATCATGTCACGTGCAAGTCCCTTGTATCCTTTACTCCTACCCGCGATGGATTCTAAGACATCATGAAATGCTCGACTTACCGTTTCTCCAGATCTTTGGAACCTCTCGGCCACATCCCGGTTTGAGAGCCCCAAAGCTAAATAAAGTGTGTATAAATATACCAACTTTTTCTTCAATAGTAATTTTGTCACTTGATGTTAAACCATATTTGATAGTGTACTAGAGAGATGTGAGAGCTAGAGAGATAAAATGAGTAATTATATTTCTCAAACCCCTATAATTAGTCTCTTGGGGTCTATTTATAGGTAAAAATGTGGATTTGGGCCCCTAGCCTTGGGCTTAGGAGGCTCATTACAATAATCATGCATTCTTTGGGCGAATAGGGCCACTAATGGGCTGAGTACAATACTTAGTACATAAAATAGGAAAATGCATTCTGCTTGGACGAAGTCTGGACGATGCGGTCCATGGACGATGCGGTCCATGGACGATGCGGTCCATGGACGATGCGGTCCATGGCCTGTGGACCAAGGGACCCAGGTGATATCTTCTTCTTTAGACGTTGCTGGCCTCTGTCCGATGCGGGTGTCGCGTGGGTGTCCTGCTGGTGCCTTTTGGGCCGTTGAGTGTGTGGGCCATGGGGTCCAGGCCCATATACTCTATCAATATTTTAATTGCAAATCCTTACACAGGCGTGCAAATAAATTTGGAGACATCCTAAAGACATTAACACAACGAAAAGGATGACCATTTAACACCTCTTGCATCCAGGCCCCCCCACTTAAAGCTGATGTCATGCAAGGCTCCTTATACATATGCTTGTAATAATGGGAAGCAATAATAGCATTTCTATCATGAATAGTAACTCCAACCATAATAAGAAGCATAAACTCATCATCATCATCATCATGGTTCATGATATCCCTACAAATAAATAAATAAGTAAATAAATGAATGCATATAATAATAATAATAATAATAATAATAATAATAATAATAATAATATAAGCATACTGCTCTTAGAAAAAAAATCCCCTGAATCTCAACAGATAAAAATTAAAATCAAATATCCAATCTAAATAAATAAATTTGTATCCTAAAGGTTACTTATGACATAACATTGTAAATGTGTATGTCGAAATAGCATACTAAATGTATTTAAAATATTCCTTTTGCGTGCATAAACTTCAGCCAGTTGAGCCTTTCATCGTCATCTTTAAAACTCATGAAGAATTGTCTTCTACTAGGACTGTCGAGAACACAAATACTGTGAAACCATAAGTCACCACTCCTCACCAGCCCACCATTCTCAGCCATTATGGTCATAATTACCATGACATCACCAACACTAACACAATCATCACCAACCTTCTCCTTTTTAGTCAAGAGGCGCTCAATTGCTTGAAGACATGTATTCCCCCTCTCTAAATTTTCACTTAGTTTCACTTATCCCTTAGACTGCCTTAGTTTGTGCTTCTTACTAGTGGCACCCGTCCCTGCATCTTCAACAGTGGTAATTGTAGGAGCAGAAGGCATATTCCCACTAGCATCTTGCATAAAATCTTGAAAAAAGTTTTCCAGGTCTGGTTCAGCATTATATCTGTTAAATACCTCGTAAGTATCATTGTTATCCTCCAAGGGGACAGTGTCTTGGTGATTTTCTTGATTGTTATTCTCCAAAAGTGTGGCCGTTGGAGCCACACATTCTACTCCAGTGGCTACTGAGTCCCCATATATTTGATCCCATTGCTCTTCAATATGCGGCAAAACTCCTTTATGCCTAAACTTCTTAACTTTTGCCTTTTCCTGTAGATTTTTTCTTTCTTTAAAAGTCAAATATTTTAATATGTTTAATTTCTAAGGTAATAAATTGTACAAAGTACCATATATACCTTAATTTTTTTACCCCACCATTCATCTGAACAATCCAGTGTGCCAGTGGCTGCATTCCAACCCAAACCAGTCTCGTCACACTTCAATAATTTCCATAATCGCCATTCCTTTTTCATAAAATCAAACTTATTTTTCAAGCTTTTTAAAGTACATTTCCTTTTTGTTCTCTCCTCAAACAAAGCTTGCATCTCCTTCCACCTAAATTGTTGTCCCCTCCCATTCTTAAGAATGAACTGAATGCATATGTCATTAAAAAATCCGATCGTTTCATCGGACCAAATAAAATATCCTCCATCTTCTTTCTTAGGCGACATCTGAAAGGCTCAACCAGCAATATAACAAATGCAAAATGAGAAATTTGCATTATAGATATAGGTTAGTTGATTAGGTATGTGCCTCTCTCACATTCCTAAACTCTAATTGCAAGTGAGACATACTGGTGGGAATCTGGGATGTATATTCTAGCATGACCTTTAAGAGTTGTAACTTGACCCAAGTAATCAAACATTACTTATTTTAGGTTTCCACTATAAACTATAGGATATAGACACACATTACAGGTGAATCAACAATTTTTTTTTTTTGCAATAATCGTAATCACCCATAATCAACTAGTCCTATATATTTACACAATTAATTAAATACAATATACACAGATGTTGTTTCAAATCCAAAATGAAACTATAAGGTTCTCAGTTAAATAGGGACAAACAAAACTTAAGCATTTGTATTCAATTATCTTATTGGCATGGGATAAATTAATTGGATACTTAACACACTTTTTCATATGTTCATACTTAAATGATGAAACACACGTATACATAAAAGAGTTCAATCAAAATACCTTCTCTGATTTATCAAAAACAGAGAACATGAATGCTATATAGTTTAAGTGATTTTATTTTGATTTATCCTAAACAATACTACGTAATTATCAAACCAAGTGTGGTGGTAATGAACAAATATTAAAAACAAAAGGAAACACCATAAAAGCCACGAACGTGTGCACTACATATGAACATTATCTCATTGGCAAACTTTAAAGTGCAAAAGAATAAAACATGCAGGCTTAAAAAATAATTGAAGACAAAATTAAAGTTACTTAATTATAAGCCAAGCCAACCGATGCAGATAAGAGTGAACACAAAGACACTTAAATATGCAAGAACAAATACTAATCTAATACGCCGTATGAATAATCACGTATAAACAGGATGAGATAGATATAGAATAACATGTTAGGAACTTGAAATTGTATATGTAAAAAACGATGTTGCCGCGAACAAATAAAGATGAAGCACAACTGAAAAGAAGAATTTAAATATAGAAAACATCTTAAAAAGAATTTTGGTGAACCATTTAAATATAGAAAACATCAGCGAGAAGGATGAACCATACCTCACAGCAGTGAATCAAGGTGAAGAATTTTGGTGGTGAAGGGATGTTTGACATAGGTGAAGGAAAGGATTGACGATGGGGCCGTTTGCCGCGAAGAAAGTCATATATATACGCGCAGGGTAGTTTAGGGATCCGAATGTATTATTCAATCGGCTGGAGGTAAACGCTTGGTCAAATAACGTTTTAATCCAGCCCACGTTTTTCACCTTCGATCAGCTCACTTTAGACTTTTACCCAAATATGTCTACTTAAATAATTATATTAGTTGAATTTAACAAATTTCAGCCCATTATGGGCTGAACTGGCACACCAAACATAGCCATAGTCTTATTTAAAGAATATGAAATATTATAAATTAAGCAATTTCCTCATTATATAAAAGGGAGGAATGTATACTTGGTATAGGTGTAGACGTGTTGTGGTCGGATGAAAATATAGGTTATTGAGGGATCGAGGCATATTCTTTAGACGTAAAATGTCGACTTTATGAATTTCGAATGTTAGGACAAAACTCCCAGTCATAGCTCACTCGTCATTTTTTGTCATTGTGTTTCCTTTTCAAAAGTCACTTTAACAACTAAACCAAATGAATAAGAACAGACAATTTACGAATATAATATTCTAGATTTTGACCAAACTCATGTATTAGAAAATAAAACTTTGTTATAGGCACACGAATACATATAGTTTTTTGTTTAGGTGCAAAATATCTAAGGTGAAAAATGAAAATGAATTTCAATTGATTGGTTTGAAACGTTACGCTAAAACAAGATTTAAGTTGCACTGATATTTAAATATCGTGATGTTGCATTAACATGTTTGTATTTCATTAGGATTTGGTGATGTAGCTTTAAACCAACGTAATGCTGCACTAGAGAGATGTAATACAAATTTTTCAAAAGTATTTAAGAAAATGTCATCACATATAGGATGTTTTTACTTGGACTGTAATTTGCTGGTCCGGTCTGGTCTGATCTGGTCTGGTCTGAACTAGTGTGGTGATCTGGTTTGGTTTGGTAAAGTCTGGTTTCTTTGTATTTTTATAATTATCCAAGTCTGGTCTGGTCTGGACTGGTCTGGGACAAATTACAGTCCAAGTAAAAACATACATAGTGATATATTTCAACACAACGTGATTCTCTTTTACTGCAACAAAATCTAATTCAACGATTGAGATTATTCTCACTTCTCAACTAAAACTCCACTCTCTCCCTCTCTCTATATATATTAAGATATTAAATTTAGAAAAGACATCACTCAGGAAGTTTTTACTTTGACTGTAATTCGTTCCAGAACAGATCAGACCTAATTTGTATAATTACAAAAAAATACAAAGAAACTGGCCCAGATTATGTTGACCACATACATTATCTTTTAATTCTTTTCCCTCTTTTCGTGTGAAAAAAACGATCAACATACACGCACGAAGTTGTATACGGAGTAACAAAAACCGCAAATGTTTATTAAAACTACGAGTCTACGAGCTATCACGCATCAAGTAAAATACGGAGCAGGTAGTAATGAATATTGTTGAAATTAAACATTTCAAGCAAACTTTATAGATACAAATCAAATGAATAGAATTTCTATTCAATATAAAAATATAATAAGCAGTACGGAGTATAAAAAAACTATTGTAAAAAGCCAAAAAACACTTTCTTTTTTTTAGGTTTTTCGTATAAAAAATCACAAGTTATGAAGACTTAAAACATCGTTTACAAAACACTTAAAATAGCTTGTTTGACAGCTAAATGCCTAAATCAATCTAATAAATAAAAAAGGGAAAAATAATTATAATACCCCAAACTATGAAGGAGTATGAGATAAACACCTCAAACTTGCATATATAATTTGAATACCCCAAACTTTATTTGAAATGTTATTTTACCTCCATGATCATATATCATTTCTTTCAAAAATGTAAATTTATGATGTTAATTGAATAATTCGAAATATCAAATTGAAAACTTTGCAATTATATAGAGTGGGGATTGATACTATTTATTTTACAATTGAAGTTTAGAATGTTAATTATATCTTCATGAATGCTAAAATATTTTAAATTATGAAATTAACACCAATAATTAACATTTGAGAAAAAAATAATACATGGCTAAGATTCTAAAATAACTATTTATATAAAGTTTGGATATTTAAATTATATATGCAAATTTGATGTGCTTAACTCATACTCCCTCCGTCCCCTTTTAAATGGGACGGGAGATGATGGCACGGGTTTTAAGAAAAATGAGTTTGTGTGGTTGATATTAATTGATAATGTAAGAATAAAGTAAGAATGATTTTGAGCCACACAAAGTTTACCAAATAAGATATGTGGCAATTAAATAGGGACATCCCAATATGATAAAAAGGACATTTAAAAGAGGACGAAGAAGGTACCTCTTTAAAATTTGGGGTATTTTAATTATTTTCTCCAATAAAAAAAGTCTACTCCGTACCATTTACTAAAATGTCACGTGCCAGACAATTCCGCACAATTAAGTCGTATATTGTCGAATCAATTAACATTAATTAATGTCAATATGCCAATCTTGCCCCTCATCAGTCGCCACTAACCTCCATCTCACTCTCTCAGTCTCTCCACTCCTATCCACATATACTAAACTGAGCTCTCTCATTCAATTCTGATCCCTACCTATCCATCTCTTTCGAGAATCAAAACTAAAAACTGTCTATTTTCTGCATCCAAGAACAATGAGCGGATTAAGGAGGTTCCAGTTAATCGAGCATTCCCCATCTTCTTTCCTGCCTCCCAAGTCCCTCTCACTAAACCCATGGTTTCCCATCGCCATTGAAGACGACTTCGACATCGCTCTTGATTTGCTTTCTCCCAGTCTCATTTCCGGAGCGTTCCCTGATTTTTCTTCACCCTTTGAAGAATTCGACGCCGTTACCGATTTGATTCAGATCGAGAGGACTCCGTTCTACAGCTCAGCCAAACGGGTCCAGCGATTCGGGTCAGAGCGCCACCACTTGCAGAGCCTCTGCGACAGGGTCTCTGCCATAGAGCTGGGGTTTGACCGCTTGCTCAAGGAGGAGGCCGAGAAGAAGAAGAAGAAGTCTCGCGTCGGGCAGCGGAAGTACACGTGGACGGCGGAGATCAAGAACCCGGAGGAAGACGGACTTGACCGGACCTACAAGTGGGTTGCCGAGGTTAAGGATGGGAAGAAGAAGGGCTCTCTGGACAAGAGCTACAAGATGATCGCTCAGATCAAGGGGAAAGGGGAAGACTCTCCTGTCTCGCGGACATACACTTTCAAAACGTCCACCAGCGATGGAGGGAAGTCTAATGCTTCAGGGAAGGAGAAGGAGAAGGAGAAGGAAAAGGAAAAGAAGAAGACGTTAAATGATAAGCAGAAGAAGGAATCAGCACAGAGCTGCGCGCGTGTGATTGAGATTGAAGATCCCTCTGATAATAGGGCCATTATCCGGACAAAGGTCTGGATTATCTTTTTGTTTATTCTTCACATCCTGATGCATAATTGGAAATGTCTGCATTAAAATTGAGTTGATGGTTTACTTCTGTAGTGATACTAACCTGTTTACCGCAGTGAAAATCAGTAGTCCAGTACTCTGTCACCAACCTAAGTGGGTAATTATCCAAGACATGGAAAGAGACGTTTTTTTTAATCACTAACAGAAGCCAAAGCTTATTTGCTTGTTGATGCTATAGGGGTTTCTCTTGGGGCTCATGGAAGGGTGGGGTTAAGGTCGGCTGGGGGGAGAATTTTAGTGAGCCAAGTCTAAGTCTCTATCTTGATATATCTTTGTTTGTTTTTCAAAGAGCATTCTTTTTATCAATGCATAATTGCATATACGAAGTCCTTCAAAGTCTTCTCCTCTGAAGTGTTGGGTCAGTTTGGATAGGTGGGTTTTAGTGGCTGGCTTAGCATATTAAGTAATCCGTTGTTTCTTATTTGTGCTTGACGCTTTACAAATACACTGAATAATATGATAAATGTTGAAGGTTGTTTAAGGGGTTACTTCTTGTTGACATTGTGATAGGCATTTGCAAAAATGATGGAGAAGAAGAGAGGAAAGAGGAAGGATTTGTCCCCACAAGATGCTGCCATGATAATACAGTATAGCTTTAAGGCTTATCTTGTAAGGAGATCAAAGGCTCTCCGTGCTCTTCGCGAGTTGGCCATTGCTAAGAGTAAGTTGAAGGAACTTAAGTCCTATTTCAACAACTTCACTTATAGAAAGCGTGTAGCTCGTGATGCTGAGGAGCGCCAAAGGTTTTCTGAGAAGATTATCGTGCTCCTACTCACTGTGGATGCCATTGAGGTATTATAAATCCCCATTCAACATGTTTACGAATAATTGATGTGGGTAATATGCATTTCACAAAGTGGGAAACATAATGTGTTTAAATGATGCCAATAATCTTTAAGTATTTGATTATCAGACTGTACGCCTCATCATGGTGGCATCCAAGTTCAAAATATATTTGTGATGAAGATGATGTGTTGGTGGTGCGGCAATGATATGGTGATTTTTAAATGGTTTGAAAAAACTATAGAACCACATAAGCAACTTATTTAGTTGGGACTTGTTTCGGTACTGTAAACAGTAGCGAAATATGAGAGGAGGAGTGTGTGTAGCGAGTCAGATAATGTAACTGAGGGAAAAACATAGCTTAGAGTACTCTGTAGGGCACTAGTGAGGTTACTCTTTCACTATAGTTTGTTCCGCCTTTCACCCCTTCTCGTAGGCCACGGGTGTTGAACCACAAAACTGTCATTGTGTGTGTTATTTTTTAACAATGGAAAAACATCTCTTTTTCTTGCATTTTTCTTTTTTATTACAGATTATTATTGCTTTGTGTTACAAAACTATCAAAGTGTAGTACTAATTCAGTGATGTAATTGACATGGACACTCAGGATCATTACACTTTGTTCTCTTTTGAGATGCAACATTTGCAGTGAAATGTGGTTAAGGAAAGAAAATATTGACTGTATTTTGATGATATATTTTCAAGGATTTAATGCCTTTTAGTGGAATATAAGTGCTTATGCTTCATTAAAAAAGTGTTAAAAAAGCGTTTGATGGCTTTTAAGATTAAAAGAACACTTTTAATGCTCATCTAAGAACACATCAGGCTGGTGCGTTACTAAAAAAGGCACATAAAGTGCTCAAATGAGAAAGCACATTGTGATTACTGATTGGTTAATTTTTCAAGTCAAGTGGTCATTCAATGGGATAGGCACTCAATCATAATGCATCACACCAGTGATTTATCTTTTTTAAGCTAGAACCTGTATAACTCCACTACTCTGGTCTTTTTCTTTTTTACAATCCATGTGGTGATGTTTGTGATATTCTTCTTTGCATTAGGAGGCTGATATGATGGTGAGAGCTTCAAAGAAGAGTATGGTGGAGGATCTAGAAGCAATGCTTGATGCGGTGGACCCCCAGCAGCAGCCTCCTGCTGCTGCAGGTAGAAGTGTATCAATGAGGAGGAGAACGTTTGATATGCCTGACAGTTTCATCAGGAAGGATGTGGCTGATGGTGTGGCACAAGTTATGCAAATGCTGGAGTCAAATGATTCCGAGTCCTTTGACCCTTGCTCATGAGCCCCGCTGCTAAAACTCGGGAACACACCTTTTATGATCCTACGGCAAGCTGGTGATCGGCTAGTCCCTCTTTGTTTAGGTGTTTTTTTGAGCTTCTCTAGAGACATTAATGTTTGATGTATTATTATGTGGACCATTGTGTTGTTCTGAATGCAATCTTTGTTGTGTTTTAATTGCTGTGTACTTCTGAATCTTACTTGGATTGCCTGTGTTTTCAGTTCTTGAGTTTATGTATTCTGCTCATTTATTGTGCACGTTGTTTCCAGTGTGGTAAAAATCCATTGGATTACACAAGTCATGCATCATGCATGTGATCTCACTTATGAAATTGTCTTGATACATATTTTTTTACTGTCTCAATTCATATTGCTAAACAAATAATAAAATTTTGATATATTTAAAAAAAATTACACATTTCGATGTACCAAAAAAACTTGCTTCCCACCGGTTTTGTTGGTTATTAGAAATAATTATGCCTAGACATTTTAACTCAAAACTAATCCATAAACACTTCCCAATTTGCAATAAAAATCTTACTACATATCACTTACTATGGTCTATGGCCCTCCATATAAAATAAGGGCACTAGATTACATACATAATCTACCTAATTTGCCATTTAGCAATCACTTGAAAACTACATTATCAAATACACTTCTTGAATTGTGTCTAAGTTTGTCCTAAATTGTCACATTTAAATGCTACTCCCTCCGTCCGTTAAAACTTTGGCCAAATTTGACCGGCATGAGATTAATAAAGTAAACATTATGTGATTGAGATTTGTACAGAGCAGAGATAATTAACAGGAACAACAATTTTTTGTTATTTAAAAGGGAAAATGACAAAGTTAGTGGAACATCAAAAAAAAAAAATTGGCAAAAACGTTAAGGAATGAAGAGACAATATCAAATGTACGTCCTCTCAAAAAATTGTTTTAGGTGAATGAGTGAATCTAACATTTCACGAGGTGGCTCGAAAATACTTTTGCAACTATCCATTTGAGGTGAATCTAGTACTTTGTGATACTTGACTATCATGTTAAGTGGTTTTGATTTAAATAAATTTTATATAGTTCGGAGACCATAGTATTAAAGTTTTTGCTCTAAGGGCCATAAGTCCAGAACAAAGGAAGAATTGAACAAACATACATAAGACGTTATGTAATTAATAATCATCATACGGAATTGATGACATTTCATTTGTTTGAATATGGTTTAATTCAAAAGAAACTCCCAACCAACGCAATCAAATAAAATGTTGAAATATTTCTGTATTCTCCCGAAATGAAACGTAACATTGCCAAAACCTCATAAAATCCAAGCTAGGCTGCCTCAACCAATGAGAGCTTGCAAACTTCATCACAAGCTTTAAATGACAACCGAAATAGCTATATATACCTTTTCACCTTAATCATATCATTGAGTGATGATATATATGTAGGTTTTTCAGTTAAGTACGTCAATTCACAATTCGGTGTGAAGCAGTAGAAAAACGCATGACATATTAATTACTCCGTAATACCTTAAGATCCTTAACGAAAAAGATAGCCGTTAAGATTGAGCCTTTTAAATCGATCAATTAAAAAAATGGTTGAAATATATAGAAGTTCACTTGTACAATGGTTGAATGGCCAATCCTATTTTTTTAATTTGACTCCCAATGCCCATAAGTGATAAATAAACTTACCCAATTATCTCGTTAAAATCGTTACATTATCTCGTTATTTGTACAAATATGATAAAATATGTAAAATTAAATACAACAATAACAACATTACCCAATTACCTACTGTGTCGCAAAAACTCCCACATATGTTAGTGTAAAGGGGGTCAGATGTACGCATCCTTACACAGTTACCTCTATACTTAAGTAAAAAGAGATGGTATACGAAATCGTGCCGAAAATTTCATGGAATAACGGTTGTTTCATAACAAAAAAGCAAACACGGTATAATGACCTATTTTGCTTTATTAAATCATATTCTCAAACAAAAATAGTGAGTCTTTGGCTCCTTTGAAAACGATAGAAATAAAATTTGTAAAATTAAATACAAATAATAGTTATTTTTTGTATATTTATAAATTTGCAAACGTCTGCTTTAAAGCTTTTCTCAACTTCCATTACTGAATAATTTGAAAAACTTCTATTTTTTAATTATTTATTTATCTGTTTCTAACTTCCTTTTCTAATTTCTTCTGCAAGGAAAAATATACTCCGGGGGTATTAAGGCATCGGTTGAGGCTCGAGTCTTTAAGTCTAAGAACTGAATTGTATTGAGTTCTTGCTTAAAGGTTCTATTTTTTATCCGAGGGGGGAAAATCCTCATTAGTTTCTATAGAGAAGAAGAAAAAACTATGAATACTGAATGTTTAATTATATTGAATGCTTGTTTCTTATAATTTGCACCCATAGTTTTTTATGTGGTATAATAGAAAACAACATTTTCTGTCTTATAAAGCTGCATTTTTAGAATCTACCTAATTGTCTTCTAAATTTAGTTGAATTTTAATGACAAAAGTATACTTAAGTTAGTTGAAGATACACAAAATAATCTTACTCAATAGTTTTTAAATTTTAGAAAAAAATACATCGTATAATATATAAAATTTTAGAAAAAAAATATATGCTATAGTATGTTGTAGTTTTAAATTTTAGAAAAAAATACATACGTATATTATATAAAATTATTTTTTCAGTAGTCTTACTTTTGAAAATGTAGAATATATTTTATATAGTTTCAAGAGTATATATAATATGCAGAGTATACATAGCATACACAGTATATATAGAGAGTGTATGATTGCTTCTACTTTAACAAAGTGAATTTTTAAAGTGATTTGGAGAAAGTGCTTAATAGTACTAGTTGATAGTGTTTGATAAAAAATTATTTTCAAAAAGTAAAAGTTGATAGTGTTTGACAAAATAAGTGTTTTTTGTGTAATAGAAAAAATGAAAAATAGTTTAAAACACCTCTCCATATGCTTCCACCTTTTTTATTTTAATTACTTAATTTAAATAGAAACTGTAACTTAGGGTCTGTTTGCAACAGCTACTACTTTTAAAAAAGTGTTTTTTTAATGAAATGGGGAGAAGTGATTAAATAAAAGTTAATAGTGTTTGAGAAAAAAGTGATTTTGAAAAGTAAAAGTGGGTAGTGTTTGGTAAAATAAGTGTTTTTTGTGTAATAGAAAAAGTAAAAACACTTTTGACGCGGAAGTCGAGAAAAATAAAAGTTGTAGGGTATGTTTGGCACAACTAGCTAAAAAGATACTCTTACGAGCTTTCTAGTAACTGTTAGCTTTTAGTGACTGAAAAGATCTTAAAAAGAAAAAGTGATAGCTGGTTGGTGAAAAGCTGACTATTTGATTTAGTTCGGTTTGGTATACAAGCTGTTAGGACTAATTAATACTAAAAGTCATGAGCTTTTCTCAGATGCTACACCCGGTAGCATCTCAAAAAAGATCTTTTAATTTTTGAAAAGCTCTTAAAAAATGTCATGTCAAACATACAACTAAAGTCTTTTAAAGTCTTTTTAAAGAATAAAGAAGCTAGGAACTAGAATCTTTTGTGTGCCAAACATAGCCGTAGTGTTTGGGAAAATAAGTGCTTTTTTAAAACAAAAAACTGAAAAGTGTTTTTTTTAAAGCAAAGATTGATTTCATCCCTAATGTTAGGCCCAAACAAATTAAAAGTTTAGGCCCAATACTCTACTTTGTAATTGGGGCAAGTACACTGACTTCTCAGCCCTAATGTAAAGTTTTGACAAACGGCGTAGTAATTCAGACATCTCTGGATCATTTCATCCACATCCAGTATCGAAGTCGGACTCCCCGGCCGACTCCCTTCGCGGCTTCGCCTTCCGGCAGGCGCCAGCACGCAGCACGGAAGCGCCTCCATTCCGCCAGGCGACAGCACCGCAGAAGGCCTCGTCAGTCGCCTGCACTCCGCCACTTACCTTTCGGCAGTTCGGCCGATTGGCCCTTCTCAATTTTCACCTTCCTACTTTTCTGTAGTTCCGGTATTCCTCCAGTCCTCTTTTATTGATTATTAGTTTATTAATTGATTTAGTTCATAGTTGTTTATAAATATTTAGTTAAATCAATGATATTGTTATTTGTTGAATCCTAAAAAAACTCTTAGAAACCCAACCAAACTCTAGGTAACTTTCTACTTTCACAATGTACTTATTGTCATTTTGATCAGCTCTACAAATTTAGCTTTTGACATTCACATGCGTCTTTAGAATCATTCAGAAAAACTAAGATATTAGATCTTTACCTAAGATCCCAAAATGGCAGAAAAAATTAATGATTTTATTTTCAGAAAACTTGTCACTTGGCAGGTCACTCCAAATTAACGTAAATGGAACTGTTCAAAATTAGTAATTAGTGAAGCATGATTGTGTGTTTTTAAAAACAATCACCGATTGCATAAATTAGAATCAAATAATATCTCCTCAAAAATACCTGTGTTCAACACAATCGCGATGATATCTTTTTCTACTTAGCAAAATCGATTTAACCAAATTTTACTTCTTCTGTGCTATATAGTGTCAATACTTGTATAATACCATATATATTAAAACAAATTATCATGTTCTAACTTCTAATCATCAAAGAATTGTGCCTTTAATGATATTATCTTTTTCTTTATTATCTTTTTTTTATCATACCTTATCTTTGTATCTTTTTTTTTTACACTGATGTCATGTATTGTTTCATGTTAGTCGACCCCAAAATCTTGTGGGATTAAGGCTCGGATGTTGTTTGTTTGTTGTTGTGTTTCAAATTTGTTCACATATTAACAAATCTAAATAATTCAAGAAAACAAAGAGTTCCATGGACATGAAGTACCTGTTGTTCAACAAAGTTTAATGGAAACAGGATTAGTACACAATGTATAAGGAAAAAGTAGTAGAGGTAATGATAAGTGTAGAAACATTAGGAGATTAGTTTTTGTTTTGGGCCCCCCTTAATGGCGTAATGTAAAAGATAGCAGAGAGTAGTCAGTGTCAGTAGCTCCTCTTTGCCCGAGTGCGGGAGTCAGAGCAGAGGAAAGTAAGTCAGCCGGGTACGGCTTGTATACAGGGATATAATCGACCAAAGGGATCCCCATTTTTTGAAATACAGAAATGGGGAGACTCGGAAAGCAGCCTGCCTTAGTGATTGAGCTCCAAGAACAGGAAAAGTCTCTGGTTATCATCCCGACCAGTTTGTCGATTTTATCTTCTATTTCATACTTTTCCATCCTAAGGGTAATTGAGTATTTTTAAAGGGAAACTTACCCAAACAGAAAATTGTAGAAAACATAACATTACATCCCAAAAAGAAAAGTGTAGCAAATGTTTCAATACGAAGGAATATTTGTTAAATATTTTTTCAATAGTTCAGTAGATTCAACCGTTTCAGCCAAATTTTTCCTAATTTCAGCAAATTCAGCCAAATTTCAGTGCTGGAGGCTTTTTTACATTAACAACATCTTTTGTTATATTTTAATACTTGGATAAAATAAAATTTAACTGCATCTGTTGTCAATTTTTTTAATGCATCATTTGTCATATACTTTAATGCTTGGGTAAGGTAAAGTGTATAATACACTTATCTTTAGCATTACATTTTAAATTAACAACTGCATCTTTTGTCATAATGTTTTAATGCTTGAGTAAAATAAAACTTAAAGCACAGATGCTCGTTTGCAATTTTGGGTTAACGCTTTTAGTTCAATTTATAGAGCGGGACCATGAGCTATTTTTTACCCTTCTATTCTTGGAGTGGTAATAAAGTTCATGAGTTTCATTGTTTTGTTATTGGGAACAGCAAAATTGCTAATTGGCCTCATTGGTAGTTTGCCAGTCATTTATATTTCACTTCAGGATTGAAATCTGTGAGCATACGATTGCATAAGTTTGTTGTTTCTTTTTTTGCTCAACAGAGTTGATTCGCTGCATGAACTATTTTTTACCCTTCTATTCTTGGAGTGGTAATAAAGTAATTAAAGTTCATGAGTTTCATTGTTTTGTTATTGGGAACAGCGAAATTGCTAATTGGGCTCATTGGTAGTTTGCCAGTCATTTATATTTCACTTCAGGATTGAAATATGTGAGCATACGATTGCATAAGTTTTTTGTTGCTTTTTTTTGCTCAACAGAGTTGATTCGCTGCATGAGAGAGCAAATACAAATGGAAATGATTTGTTAGTCATCTACTACATTGTATAATGAGTCTGGTTTCACAGTTAAGGCATCGTTTGCCTACTCTACAACTCATAAGACAGCGTATTCTGTACAATGCGACGGCACAATCACCTCCTTTTGGAAAGACACGACACTTCTCTCAACCTGCCAGGAAAGAGGAAGAGGAGGAGGAAGTAGAATTTGACCAGAGAAGACTTCCAGCTGATTATGACCCCGCAACATTTGATCCAACAGAGCATCGCAGTCCTCCAACAGAGAGAGTGTGGAGGCTTGTTGATGAAGTTTCAGGACTCTCATTGGTTGAAGTAGCTGAGCTGTCTGGGATTTTGATGAAGAGGTTGGGTATGACTCAACAACCCACAGTGGGGATTATGAAGGCGGGAGATGCTGCTGGCATGGCAGTGAAAGGAGGGTCCACAGCAGCAGCTAAGGAAGAAAAGAAGCCTGAAAAGACCATTTTTGAGCTGAAGCTAGAGTCTTATGATGCTACTCAAAAGATCAAGATAATTAAAGAGGTCCGCGGCGTAACTGATTTAGGTCTCAAGGAAGCAAAGGATTTGGTGGAAAAGTCACCCGCCGTGTTTAAGAAAGGAGTGTCAAAGGAAGAAGCAGAGCAAATTATTGAGAAGATGAAAGCAGTTGGGGCCAAAGTTGTCATGGAATAACGGAAAGTAGTGCAGATTTCTCTCTTGTTGATATAATGATTTTTCTACACCCAATCAATTGAATAATGGACTCTTCATGTTTTAGTAATCTTGCTTTTGGTTTCGTCTTCCATTTAGAGATAGTTTCAAAATCCCCTAGCATGCTTGAGTTGCAGTTTGCTTCTGAATTGCATATGAGCATTTCAAACTAATGTCAGAAAGCCTTGATCATTTTTGGTGGATGATTTAACATGTTATGGGCATTGATGATTTATAATATGTGTTATTATGCCGTTTTGTGTGTTTGTAGAATTGTCAAGCGTGTTACTGTTTCCTATTTTCTATGCTAAGTCTAGACCTGGACTCGGGCCGGGCGGCCCGGCCCGGAACCGGCCCGGAACCGGCCCGGCCCGGTTACTGTGAGGCCCGGCCCGGCCCGGAGCCCGGTGGGCCCACCGGTTCGGTTCGGCCCGGCCCGGCTGCTGGGCGGTTCGGGCTCGGGCCGAGGTTTTGGCGAACCGGCCCGGCCGGTTCGGGCCCGGTTCGGTTCGATTTTTATTTTTATTTTTTTTTTTTGATTTTTTTTTAAGTTTTGGGTTGGATTAGGTATTTTGGGCCATTTGAGGTGGTTTGGGGTAGTTTGGGGTTGAGGGGGAGGGGTTGGGGGTTAAATAGAAGAGCCAAAAAAGAAAAAAAAAATATTTCCGGGTAGGCCCGGCCCGGCCCGGCCCGGTTTGGCCCGGAACCGGAACCGGAACCGCCCACCGGCGGTTCGGGCCCGGGCCCAACTATCCTAGCCCGAGGCCCGGCCGGGCCCAGGCCCGAACCGGGCCCGAACCGGCCCGAGTCCAGGTCTAGCTAAGTCTATGTTTTACTTGGAATTTGTTCAGTAATACCAAAATTAACTGATTCTATTGAAACTTGTGAATTTAGGCTATACCAAAATTAACTGGCTATACCAGAATTTCTGAGTGACAGTTCTATCAAATTAATTAAATTTTAATTTGATAGAAATAATTTTATCACATGGAATTTGTAATTTGTGCAAAATTATGTCAATATATAAATGAATCAACTAAGTGAAGGAGGACTGGAGGAGCATTTAGTTAGAATTAATTTAAATTTAAAATTGACAATTATATTAAAAAAAGTTTATGTTATGTACAAAATCTGTTCGAATGTGAAACTAGAATTGCAACTATATTGATGTAGCATAAATGTTTCTAACAACAAAAAAAAGTAAAAAGAATAATGTAAAAGTGTAAGACTTGAAGGGCTACTGAATTAGTGATCGATGATTTTGGGCAATGTTTGTTTTGCTCACTTTTGCAAGACTATTTGGTAATTTGGTTTTGTTGTCATCTTTTATTTGAAATACTTATGGAGCCACTGAATTAGTGAATTACATTAATTATGGAACAAAATAATATTTGTTCTATTGAATTATCTTGCAAAATTGAGATGATAAAAAAAAAAGGCAAGACTTCAAGGGCAAAAGAAAAGAAAAACAAAGAAAACCGCTGCATGTAGGTGTCGAACTTTTGACCTCAGTCAAGAACATACAGAGTACTCTGTATTATGTAGTACCTTTAAATATAGAACAAAATATATTTACTTGTTGTATGAGTTACCTGTATGTAGAACAAAATATATGTATACCTTTAAATTTGATATATTTATATATAAGAGTTGGGTGGGGTTGAGTGGGGGCAGCTGCCCCCCAGCCCCTCCCTGAATACGCCCCTGCTTCCAATTTAGGAAAGAAATATATATCAATACAGTATAAAACAGTACTCCCTCCGTCCCTAATAACTTTGCCAAGTTTGACCGGCACGGGGATTAATAAAGTAAAAACTGTGTGGTTGAGGTTTGTGCAGAGGAGAGAGAATTAACTGGAACCACAAATTCTTTACTTAAATGGGAAAGTGGCAAAGTTAATGGAACATACAAAAAAGGAAAGTTGGCAAAGTTATAAGGGACGGAGGGAGTATCAAACAGTGACAAAACATGTACTCTACAGTAAAACTTACCCCTCAATAATTTTTTTTATTTTTGTGAAATCAAAGTGTGACTTTGATTGTGAAACGGAGAGTGTATATGACTAAAATAATAATGATGTAATAAAATTGTGATTTATTATACAAAGTGATTTCTCAGTTTTACACTTTCATGATCATGAAGTTATGCATGTACTAAGACACTAAGTAGTAACGTACTTTGGTCACATTTTATCTATACATTGTATTTAAATAATAACGGAGTACGTAGTATACTACAAGAAAAACTGTTTTAGAACTCATCGATCTTATGACCATTATATTCAATTTTATTACGATGTACGTAGTATCATGCATGCATGTACGTATAATAATGATAAAATAATAATGCCACTAATAAAAATATCATGAACAAAAATGTGATGTAGTAGTAATTAGTGACTATAATTGTGCTCAAAGTTTGCATCACAATAACTTATATTTAATTATTAGAATATAAATTTTGAACACAACTCGATCTACTCACTAATAGTTATGAATTTGTTTCTATTAATAATAATAGCGAGAATAAATCACTACTATTCATCATTATTAGTAATTTAGTATTAGTTTAAAAGGTAATAAAATAAAATTGTAAGTTATATCTGTCCAATTCAACAATGTCGTTTATATGTTGACAGATAATACAATTAATTTTTCTCTAAAATGACTAGTATTGTACCCGTGCGATGCACGAGACAATAATTTGTACATATGTAGCAAATTTTTGTTATTTCAATGCACGTATATGGAAAATTATGAGGTAACAAGTATAAATCATAACCTCTATAAATCTTCGGTTTACAGAATAGAACTGCGGCCGACATAAAATTAGGATATTTTTTGTAGACCTCTAGATCGGAATTGCATCCACAAAATTCCCCCACAGTGTGCACGTACTTCACTCTTCTTTGGCTGTAATCAAGCTCTCAAATTATACATCAAATTACTTGTAAAAGAGTTCGATTTATATGTTTAATTAACTTAGCTTACTCTGGGTCTTGCAAGACAATTTCTATCAACTTTTGGCTTTCTCCATTATACTCTTGACGCTGTGGTAGACGAATGGAAACGATGCTTCCGATCACATCTAAAAATTAAAAAATAAAAATTAAACAATAAGAAAATTAACCAATATAATATTATAGCCCTTTAACCAATATAATATTATACTAGTAATATTATATTAACCAATATAATATTATATTTTAATTCTTACCAAAAAGTTCCATAACATCAATTTGATCAACAATTCAACATTTCTGATTTCATAGAATGGCCTAAAGGCGTACATAGCTTTTGGGAAACTTTCATCAGGACAATCCAACAAAGTTTTCTTGAAATTGAACATGGTCTTAAACCTGTTTGTAATTGTAGTGATTTTGTATGTCATTGTGTTAGGGGCAACAACAAAATTTTTGAGACTATACAACTTGCCCTCTTTAAGTTGATCCTTGAACTCCCACAAAAAAGATGATCTTGAACTTTGTAATGAGTTCCTTACAAATGGTTGCATGGATACGATCACCCTGTTTTACAAATAAAAAATGAAAAGTTGTTACGGAGTATATAAGAACAACATGTAAGTTACTATATCATAGTTACCATTGAATCATGAAAGATGCATTTAAAGTATTTGGAACACTTTGCTCTTGCTTGTTTTTGAAATTAGGATGAGCATAGCAGCGAACTTACCTAACCCTAAAGGCCCAATCAGTCCTTGTAGCGTTCAACTCAAAAATACAATTGTACAACATCATATCCCTTCTCCAAAGTTTTGTGTTTTCTCCTTAAGAGGCCGTAGTAATGAATTGGACTGCAGGCTCCGGGGATAATGACCGCTTAATGTATATATAGTGATTGTAGTTTGGAGTTTTAGTATTGTGGGGTGAAACTACACGTTGGTTAATAAACGTTGTAGACAACCGTTCAATTTTATCTGTTTTGTTCCATTTATTTTTTAATTAATGTTCACTGCGTATTTGTTTTTGGAAAAATTGAAAATAATAATCTCAACTATTGCCGGTCCGCTAACAATAATCCCAACTATTGATTATTTTTGTATAATCCCAACTATATGGACCGTCCACCAATAATGGTCCATGACCAGATAACAAGTGAATTTCAAATAGAAATTAAGCGTAAAAATTAAAAATTAAGATTATTTATAGGGATTACTTGCTATTATCTCATCTCATCCACTTTAGAAATTATAGAAATTTATTTATTGCCGGTCACATGGGACCATTATTGGCGGAATGTCCATAAAGTTGGGATTATTCTGAAATAATCGGTAGTTGGGATTATTATGAGCGGACCGCCACTAGTTGAGATTATTACTATCAATTTTTCCTTTGTTTTTTTCTTGAAACCTGCGCATTTGTTTATTTTTTTTTAATTAATCCACATGATAGGTGGTCATAAATTTGATCAAGTCTATTACAACCTGATTTTTTGGGCCAACCTGTTCTTAATTGTTTATCCGTATTATTGATTGTGTAAAAAACTACTCAGTGGGCCTGCTATAACTTTTACTCCCTCCGATAGAAGTTCCTCATTTGACTTGCACACACTTTTATGCAAATAAACTTACCAGGGGGTAAATTTTACTGTTTTGACACTGTTTCGACACTGTTTGGCACTGTTTTGATGTAGATAACTTTCCATTTAAGGAAATGAGAACTTAAATTAGAGACATTCAAATAAGGAAAGTGAGAACTTCTTTCGGGGACGGAAGGAGTGCTTTTTACATATTGGCCCACTTTGTTTTCATTGATTGCCTTGTAGCGGGAACAGTTATATCCCCACGATTCCCTTGTTATATTAAATAGTATAGTATAATACCCGTGCGATGCACGGTCAAAGAATATTCTCTAAGTAATAGGGTGACTACATTTATACGAATAGAATTTTTAGATGAATTGCTTGTGTAAATAGGCAAAATAGGGAGTGCATATATTTGAAAATACTTATGTCATTCTTATGCTGTTTTTAATAGGATTAAATTTTTCTGATTTGGTCTAATGCGGTTGTTCTAATATGGCAACAGAAACAAAAAGACGGAATATTAACCTCAAGGAGATTCTCGTGCTACAAAGAGGGCATGCGAGCTACAGACAAACGAGACAACTTGATAAAAAATCCTAGAGCAGAAACTAGAATCGGATGCCAAGCACGGATGGTAATTTCATTTGATCGTAAGATAGAAAAGTACAAGGTTAGTGACTTTGTAGATGAACATAAGTACAAGGAAGTGCGGAAAAAGAAAAAAAGATCAACCAATTTGGTAAAATACTGTTTTTATTATTGTTTGGGGACTTATTTAAGATCAATGTTTGTTAAAGTATGTAATTTCTTGTTTTTTTGTAGGAACCAATTGCACCCACAACTGGAGGAATCCAACAGTTGTTTTCAAATTCAGTTTTACCTGATATGCACCAACCTTCCGCATATATTCCCATGACCTATTCATTCGGTGATTTCATTGCTACCAGAGAGGACTTTGCGGGTGAAACTCAAGTCATTAATGCTAACCAAGATCCAAATGGAAGTGTACATTGTAATTTTGAAGGAGGAAGTACATTATAAAATGCAGATTACTTAAGAGCTGACTTGATGGATATTTTCAGGATAGGAAGTAGTCGTTTGTGAAATATTTGGTTTGTTTTTTGCTATTTGGGGTGTGGCAATACGGACTGGTGGTTAATTTACATTGTGGAAAGTAGTTTGCACAAGTTTTTTTAGTAGTAGATTGAAGACTTATTAAAATGAAAATTGAAGCTTTTGTTGTATTTGTTAATTTACATTGTGGATAAGAGTTTGGGACTTTGATGATTTGTCATTCAAACTGCAATATTTAGACAGTTGCTTGTATTTTTAATGTTTGTTTCTCAGAATATTACTTTGCTTCATTACCTTCATATGTAAACTATTTTTATTGTTTTGCTTAACCTATTAAATAAATAATTTATGAAGTTTTTGAACCTTCAAATTAAGCAGTTTTTTTAACCTTCAATTCAAAAGTCCAGTTTATAAACCTTTCAAAACCAATTCATGAATCATCTAAAATTGATGACAAGTGGAATAGAGAAGTGGAATAGAGAAGAAAGAAATCAAAATAAGTAACTTTAAGTACTCCGTACTTCCTAGAAGCCAAATGAGTACTTTGTAAAAGTCAAAGAGAGATATAAATACAGCACCAATACATATCTAAACCTTTGATCAAGTAAGTGGGTATGTGGCAGCTCTCTAATACATCAACTGGAATTCTCCAGTACCGTATGTACTGGAGAGAAGCTGCATTGTTCACTTTTTTATTTATGTTGTTACTATTCCCAAAAGGCTTTTGCAATTTAGTAATTGTCCTATATAGGACTAATACTAAAGTGAAATGCACAAATAGGACTAATTGTTTCTATTTCCCTAAATATAGTTTCAAAGAATATAATCGGAAACTGGACCAGTACTTCAAAGGATCGCAGCTGGATGGTCAAAGCATGGAATATTCACTGATAGAAACGTTGTAACTTACTATGTATATGTAATTACCGCAATGTAAATTTGAACGCAACTAAAGTCACTAATAGAAACTAAGTAACATTTTTGTCCAATAATGTTAATGAAATATTTTCTAAAAAGAATATGACATTCTCAAAATTGCGTGTGGGTTTTTAAATTAATTTAGAGGTCAATTTCTACACTAGTCCTCGAAAAATTGATGGATAACTCTATTGGTGAATCATGCAATTTGATGCCACACACCTAAATCCAAACACACACAAATCATGATTATCACACATTAACACCCGGCCATGATATCGAATATATAGAGTAGAGTACATCTTTGTTTTAGAGATATGAGATTCTTCTCTTTGGCCTTCTTCTTCCACCAAGACCCGTGAGTGTTCTTTCTCTCAATTGGTCTTTTATTTTCTTAGACGTTATAGTCTGATTATTTTTAATTGTAATAACATTTTGTATTTTAAAGATTTCATGTCCCGAATATTTACAGCTTGTCCATTGTAATTTAAAATATTGAAAAAGTTAAAAAATATTTAAATTATGTGCGATAATATTAATACATTATTTTAACGTATAAATAAAATTTTAAAAATAGTTTAACCATTACTTACCAATCCAACCTACAAAAATGTTTGAATATATAAATACTTATTATGTAGTTTTATAATTGAGTACACATGAAAATCATACTATATATTCAATATTTTTTTAAGTCTATTATATCGTTTAGAATTTATATATTTGTGTTCGAAAATTTTCCAATAGACAAGTTATAGATAGACATAAGCGTGGTTCCGTAAAAGGCTAGGCAGAAAAAATGAATATGTGCCAATTTTTTTGTATTTCTGTTCCTCTAAAGTTGTGTTGAAACTTTAGAATTAAAACCAAACATGACTTATCCACTTAAGATAGTGATTCTACCCTACCCATCCAGAATAAGACAATTAGCAGCTTGAATTATTGATAATGCTGGTTAGATCTTAATAATCACGTCGTTCTACATTTTAATAAGGCATGGACCGGCAGACAGTTCGATCAATTCGGACTGGTCTTGAACCGGGTCCAACACTGTTTGGACCTAGACCAATTCAGTCTGGTTTTTCCGGTTTCGGGCCTATGACCGACGTTGTCCGCCCAAGGGTTCAGAATCGGTTTTGGGTCAGTTCTGGGTATCCTGGTCCCAGTCCACAGATTTGGGGATCAAATCGGTGACGCCGATCCCGGCTTCATCCGACCGGATAGCCAGAATTGACCCAAACCCAAAAACAGTCGAGTCGGACCTGTGCTTCATTAAAAGATAACCGAGTTCGATTGGGCGTTAAGGCCCGGAATCGAGGCCGGAAAGATCCTAGGATGTTTTCTTTTGGACTGTTTGCAGTCCCAGACCAGACCAGACCAGATCAGACCAGACCAGACTTAACCAGACCAGACCAGACTTAAACAGACCAGATCAGACTTGGATAGTTATAAAATACACAGAGACCAGACGTTTACCAGACCAGTTCAGACCAAACCAGACCAGACTTAAACAGACCAGACCAGACCAGACCAGCAAATTTCAGTCCAAAAGAAAACATCCCTAGTGAATCCCAAAGTTCAATCGACAATCGACAATGTTTGTAGCTTGTGAAAGAGAATACAACAAATAGTTTTGTTGCATGCTAAATAAAATAAGTTTCAACATAATAGCAAGATGCCAAAAACTATCGATCACATTACAATTATTCATTATATTGACTTCCATACCAACAATTTCTAATTACATAACAAATCTATTTACACACGTACATTATACCGCGGCGAGTGGCGGGGGAATTGCAGTTATTAGTTTGGACAAGACAAAGTATGTATGAAAAAGGAAAACAACCCTTCAACTTTAAATGGCGCATTTGCCCCATCAATCATCTCCTACCATCAATGAAATTTTGAACGGTAAATAATGAATCATCACCCGACTTGTTATTCCGTGATATCCGAGCTAAGTCACCTTATGATGATTTGTAGATGCCCTTGACCCTCTATTCCTATACTCTCCATAGTAGAGACCTGTTAAATGTGTGTTAGAAGTCCCACCCCATTCATGCCACCCTACTAGATCTACTATAAATTTTATATGACTCTACATGATGAATATGTATGGCTCTTGAGTATGATCCCTGAGGTCTACTTAAAACACCCTTGTTGAGGGCATTTTGTCGGTAATTACTTCCCTTATTTGGCAAATAGCTAGGACAACCCTTGACCTAATGCCATACTAATTGTGTTCTTAGGTAGACTCCCAAGATCATATTCAAGATCCATAACCAGGTAGAATCATATGGAATCCATAATAGATCCAACGGGGTGATGTAAATGTGTGGAACTTCTAACACTATCATTAGCCAATCTCTGGTATGGCGAGTATAGAAATAGCGGGTCAGGGTATACAGTGGCGGACCGAACATGGGGGCAAATGGGGCTGGTGTCCCCCCCAAATTTTATTTTTCTAAGTATATTTACTCCGAAATTTTAATATATACTCCGTATGTATTTGTATTTATATTTTTACCCTGTCGCCCCTCCTAGCCGGAATTCCTGCGTCCGCCGCTGTGGGTATATATCTATAAACCATAGGGTGAAGTCAGTGGAGGACCTAGGGAGGGGCCTAGGGGGGCAAGTGCCCCCCGCTTCCGACCATGAAGTTTAGTATTAGTACTTAAGATAAAAATTGTGTCTCTGCTATCCGAACAAAAAATTAGAGTATTTTTCATAAATATTACCAGAATATAACTAATGAATAGAATAATGGTCACTAAAATTGTTATGGTAATATCTAAGTCATATTTTTGTCTACTATATTTATTTCAATCATATTATCATTATTTCAAAAAACTATTAGATGTATAGGACTCCGACGAAGACATATAATAATTGTAGTAAGAAATATAAACAACTCTGAAGTTGTGATGGAGCAAATTCTTATAGTTAGATAGTTGCTTTATGGTTACTACACTTTCTTTGAAAAGTGGCAGATTTTTTATTTGGTGTGAATAATGTCGGTCCAAAGTTAAAGTTCAAAGATATGACAAGGGTTCTAATATGCGGGATAAACTTAATAGATTGAAGACTTTTATCTTGAATAAAAGTCCATATATACATGAAAAAATGTGTCAATTCGCAATAAATTAGTTTCAAACTGACAGACCCTTTTAAATTTTTTCTATAATATGATACTCGTAAAAGGTAGATATATAGAATCATATTATTAAATAAAGTTGTATTAATTGATGAAATCGGAAACTTGACTTATACTTCATTTTTAACACGATAAAATTATATTTCCGACAAGTACCAACAAATTTTGTGGCACAATGTATAACAATGACATGATCCTAGTTCAAATATTAAATCTTGATCATTTTATAGTATGAAAAATAGTGAAAATTCTAATGTAAAATCAGAAACGGCGCAAAGATGAGTCATTTCTAATCCGCCAAATTATGTCTTTCTTTCAAAAAGTCAAATATTATTGTTTAGAGTTGTCTTAATGAGTTCACTATTAGACTTATAACCCATATATGTTCATTGCTTGACGTCAACATTGAATAATCTATTTCCAGTTAAAAATATTAATTTGAACGCACTTGACAAAAAAGATCACCCAATTCGACCCAAACCATTTTCATCTATGTGGGAGTGCCCCTGCTTCGGAAAACTTCTGGGTCCGCCACTCGGGTGAACTGGTCAGAATATCAAAATATAATAAGGTCAAGTGAAGCTTCATTATTTACCGTCAAGAATTTTATTGGTATAGTATGTAGTAGGAGATGGTTGCCTCACACAAATGTGCCATTTAAACTTGTCTTAGGAGATGATGACATGGTGTTGTAGCATGCATCTTCTTCTCCTTAGTAATAACATTATTGAAGGAAGGTTATCCTTTTTCGTATATATTATATCTTCTCCAAACTAACAAGTAACAACTACAGTTCTTTGAATATATATTTGTTTTTAATTAAAAATGGTTGGAATGAAAGTCAATGTAATGAAAAATTGTTATGTGATAGACTGTGCTTGGTATCTTTGCAATACTTTAATTTCAAACACATAAACACATTTGATTAATTAGCAATGTAACTTATTATATTCCCATTCCTTAACCAATAACAAAGTTTCACGTACACATTTTTTTTTTATTGTAACGTAAACTTGATCATGAAGATCTAACGAGCATTATCAATAATTAGAACTTGATTTGGGTATGGTTCTGATCCGGCCAGTCCGGATAAGTCGGGTTTGGTTTTAGTTCCAAAGTTTAACCTATTTAAAATTAAAGGAGGACCACAATAGTCCAATTTTTCTCTAAGCCTAGAGCAATTAAAACGTAAAATCAGTACTCCGATCCCTCAGACTTCACTGCATAAATAATAACCTTTTGAGGCATACCACATCTGAAAATGCTTCAAAAGGTTGCCTCTTCCACTATGAACTTTATCCACCCACACTTTATTAAATCACGAGTTACCTAAAAGTGTAAAATTCAACACTAATTTTAAATATTTATTAATGTAATAAAAATGCAGAAAAAGTTTCAGTTTGCCTTGAGTTTAACCACATACGCTATAAAAAGTGAGTGAAATAGTACTCCGTAACAGATCGCAAATAATAAGTCATGCATGTCATGAGCTCATAAGTAGTGTATCTCATTGTAAAATTTTGATCATTATGCAAATTAAAAATGATATTAAAATAAATAAATAAAAAAGAATGTGCTACTAATAAAAAATTCACAGGCAAAACATTACTAGTATTTAGTAACAATTAGTGATTATAACTCTGTTAAATGTTTATATTGTAGTAACTTACATGCATGTAATTATACTCCCTTCGTCTCCCTGACTTTGTCCCGTTTTACCTTTTTCGTCTGTCCCATTAAATTTGTTTCATACCATATTTGGTAATATTTGGGTGGTTATAATTCTTCTCTACTTTATTTACGCTTTATCAATTCAATACCAACCACGCAATTCTATTTTTTCTTAAAAATCACATTGCACCCCTTTGTCCCAAACTTAGGGGGACGGAGGTAGTACAATGTAAATATGAATGCAATTATAGCCACCGATAGCAACCAAGTACTCCGTAATATTTTTTTCCACTAAGAATATTTTCTAAAAAGAATGTAACATCTCAAAAATTGCATTAGGGTTTTAGTTTCGAGGTCAATTTCTATACTAGTCATCAAAAAATTGATGGATAACTATTTGGTGAATCATGCAATTTGATGCCGCCCACCTAACTCCAAACACACAAAATTCACACCTTTAATGTCAAATACGAAGTATATGAAGAGTAGAGTACATCATTGTTTCAGGCTTCATGGCAGACTTGCTATTCGAATTTCCATTATTGTAAAATTTTGTTTTTTAAAGATTTCATGTCCAAAATATTTAAAGCTTCTCCATAGTAAGTTAAAATATTGAACAAATTAAACTAATTAAATTATGTGGGATAATATTAATACATTACTATAACGTACTCCGTATAAATTAATAACATTTTAAAAACAGTTTAAGCATTACTTACCAATTCAACCTTTAAAAATGTTTGAACATATAAATACTTATTATGTACGTAGTACTTTTTAATTGAGCACACATGAAAAGTCATGTGCATGTACTATCAATAGAGTTTTTTGAGTCCATTAAATCGTTTAGAATTTATATATTTGTGTTTGAAACTTACCAATAGATAAGTCATTGATAGACCAATAGGTGTGAACAGGGCCCCATTCTTAGAAGGCCCTCCATTATTTATTTGGTAGGCCCATTATAAAAATTGGTTATTGTAAGTGTATTCATTAGTTCTTTCCGCCGAATATCGAATTTCTTCTTATTGAGCCTTGGGATTCCAGAGTTCAATTCATTAGATTTTCGCATTTCATCAGCCGAACCCACGATCAGGCAATCAGGCTTCACTCGACGATTGGCTCTCACGGTGTGCAGCGGTTCACATGATTTCTCCTCATGAGTGTTCAACAGTTCAACTTTCTCCTCCTCTGATCTACCAGGTGCTTTTATTCCTACTTTTTTAGTTTGATTCTTTCATTATCTGTTAGGTCTTAGATTGAAATGTTTTGCAATGTCTCCTAGAACTAGAAAAATTGAATTTATCAATATATTAAATCTTGATAGTTCTTTTCTTGTTAATAGTTTTGCATTCTGTTTCAGGGCCTCCTATTTTAATTGTAACATTGAAGAATTTGCCCTATTCACATATTTTACATCGACTACATTTTATTTATTAATCCATTATCAATTAAATTTTTAGAAAAATTGTTAAATTCCTCTCATTTTAAATTTTCAAAATCTGGTTTTTTTATTTATTGTTTAACCAATGAGGGATAAAAAAATATTGATAGTCAAATAGAGGAAGTATTTCATTTCGGGCCCGTGCAGCACAGAAACACGCACAATTCACATTGCCATTACTTTTCATAAAGGCATGTCGTAAATGCAACTTTTTTTAAAGATTCCATTGTGTACTTTAAATATTTCATGCCCCAAATAAATTATTTTTATGCATGGTAATTTACAATATTGAACAAATTACAAAAAAAAAACAAATTATGTGCCATAGTATCAAGACAATATTATATATAACAATCTAATAAAACTATACATCAAGCATAATATGTAGACAATAATATTTTAAACAACGTCATTTCATCATCTCCTAAGACTTGCTTTAAAGGGCACGTTTGGCCCAAGCAACCACCATGTCACACCATTGATGAAATTCTGAACGGTAAAAAATATAGCATCAATCGCCCTGGTTATTTTGTGATATCCTAGCCAGTCTACCATGCGGTTTGTCGATGCCCTTGGCCCTCTATTCCTATACTCCCCATAGTAAAGACAGGTTGATGATGATGCGTTAGAAGCCCCACCCCATTCTCGCCAACCCGCCGGATCAATTATGGATTATATACGACTTTGCATGAATACGACTCTGGAGCAATCTCTCCAGGGTCTACCCATAAACACTTTAGTTAAAGCCATTAGATCAAAGGTTGCCAATATTTGACAATTCTGAAATACGAATCCTCCACGTAGGTCAGTGATCACCCTCCCTTGGGGAGTTATGGTGACATCCTCCCCAGCTATGGGGTTCCTTGCATATAATTTGCAATTTTGAAACGCCGCTCGTGCATTGCCAAAAACAAAGTCAACGGTAGCGTAAATATGGCACTCTCTTAAAAATGGATACCCTGGAGGGGGCTTAAAGTATCCTAGTACCCTTCCACACTACACCTATAAAATACCAAATGCTCACCCTGGACAAGAAGAGCAATTGCACGACGTTGTGGTCCAGTTGTGTTTCGAAAGGTTATCCCTTCCGCAATAAAGTCTGATCCACTCACAGCTACCATCAAAATGTTGAATATGCAATTAGTGCACTCATAAATAACAGGAAAAGGGGTGTCAAGTAAGCCCTTCCATTGTTTCGAAACCATCGTCTAAGCCTCTGTACTAAAAAACGATATACAAGTGTATGATTTGTTTATCAAATGTAATTGTGTGTAACTGTGTCAAAGTTACAAAATTAAAAATTAGCGGTGTTTGTTCAAATTTAATGGACATAACTTTGAATATGTGATCGTTTTTTAGTATAGGAGCTTAAATTATGGTTTCACAATAGTAAGACTTATTTGACTCTCCCCTCTAAATTATATGAATATAAAAACAATCGTTATGTAGGTAAGTAAAAGAAAATGCAGTGTTACTTACTAAGGGTGGGGGTGAGGGTGGTGTACGTTCTGTCCATGGTAGGTGCTTCTGTGACCAGTTATTATGGTCAGATGCAAGCCGGCCCCAAGCAACTTGATGTAGCTTAGTGATGAAGTAATTGTTATTAGTTCATCATATGTCCCTGCATCAATTAGAATAAGGAACCTCATGTTTCCTCTAGGCATGGTAGAAGCGATATTTAGTGCTTCGGATATTGTGGTAGCATTACCACGCCCATCCTTAGCTACAATGATATATGTTCTTTGTGAAATCACATAATACAAAAGAGAAAAGATTAAGAATGAAAAAAATATAAAATTCATCGTGTAATAAGGTGTTTCTGAAAAAAAAATCAATGTGGTATGAAGTGTGTGTTACGTTGTAACACAAGTCAAAATGCAGCATCTTATATGCAAAAAAATTACATGCTTCCCTAGATAAAAATGCAAAAGATCATGACTTGGTTATTTGAACCAAACAATATTTGAAGGCAAAGATCATTTTTTTAATCTATTATATATGTATATGTACTCCTAACACTTTAATTCAATTTACCCAATCTATAGATACACACACAAGTGTGCAACATGAAAGATATGCTATTTAGCATTTGAAGAAAAAGATCATGACTTGCGTATTTAATATTAATGTTGTGTGTGATTTGAACCAAACAGTCTTTGAAGGCAAAGATCATTTCTTGTTAATCTATAATATATATACTTTGTATATGTGTGTGTGTACTCCTAACACTTTAGTTCATTTTCAATGTAAGGAGGAAGAACATGAGCTGTTTTTTTACCCAATTTATAAATGCACACACAAGTGTGCAACATGCATGATATGCTATTTAATCTAAACACTCTTTGAAGGAAAATAACATTTCTTATTAATCTAATATGTATGTGTGTGAATGTATATTTATATGTATCTATAGGGTATATGTATATATGTACTCCATAGGCCATACACTTAAGTTCAATTTATATAGAGCAAGAACACGAGCTGCATTTTTACCCTTCCATTTTTTGCGTGCCAACTAATTTCAAGTGTTTGAGTATTGATGATATAGGGAACAAAAAATAGCTAAGTGAACTCATTGTTAGGTTGTCTGTCAGTCATATATATATTTCACTTTGGAATTGGAATCTGTGAGCATTTAGGTGCATAAATGCTTTGTTGCCTTTTTTGTTCATCTACTGCATTATGTGAAAATTCTGGTTTCACAGTTAAGGCATAATTTGCCTACACTGGTCATACAATGCAATGCAATTTTGGCCCCAACTGCTTTCATCTCCTCAGTAATTAGCTCTGCTTCTACCTTGGATGCTCACTTTTTAAACACTATAGGCGACTTCTCCTTCATATTTGTTGCATCATTAACATTATAGCCATGAAGTCAGAAGTGATGTGTCTCTTCAGAAGCTGTGTTTGTGAATTGCATTGTATGACCAATGTAGGCAAATGATGCCTTAACTGTGAGACCAGAATTTTCACACAATGCAGTAGATGAACAAAAAAGGCAACAAAACATTTATGCACCTAAATGCTCACAGACTCCAATTCCAAAGTGAAATATATATGACAGAAAGCCTAACAATGAGTTCACTTAGAGTACATATATACATATACCCTGTAGATACATATAAATATACATTCACACACATATATATTAGATTAATAAGAAATGTTTGTTTCCTTAAAAGAGTGTTTAGATTAAATAGCATATCATGAATGTTGCACACTTGTGTGTGCATTTATAAATTGGGTAAAAAACAGCTCATGTTCTTGCTCTTTACATTGAACTAAAGTGTTAAGAGTACACACACACACATAATATATTAACAAGAAATGATATTTGCCTTCAAAGACTGTTTGGTTCAAATCACACACAACATTACTATTAAATAAGCAAGTCCTAATCTTTTTCTTCAAATGCTAAATAACAAATCTTTCATGTTGCACGCTTGTGTGTGTATCTATAGATTGGGTAAATTGAATTGAAGTGTTAGGAGTACATATACATATATAATAGATTAAAAATAAATTATCTTTGCCTTCAAAGATTGTTTGGTTCAAATAACTAGGTCATGATCTTTTGCATTTTTATCTAGGGAATCATGCAAATTTTTGCATATAAGATGCTGCATTTCAACTTGTGTTACAACACATACTTCATACCACTTTGAAATTTTTTCAGAAAAACCTTATTACACGATGAGTTTTATATTATTTTCATTCTTAATCTTTTCTCTTTTGTCTTCTGTGATTTCTCAAAGACCAGATATCATTGTAGCTAAGGATGGGTGTGGTAACGCTACCAAAATATCTGAAGCACTAAATATCGCTTCTACCATGCCTAGAGGAAACGGGAGGTTCCTCATTCTAATAGTTATAGGGACATATGATGAAGTAATAGCAATTACTTCATCACTAAGCTACGTCAAGCTGCTTGGGGCCGGCTTGCATCGGACCATAGTAATTGGTCACTGAAGCACCCCTGCCGTGGACATAACGTACACCACCCCCACATCTAGTAAGTAAAACTATAATTTCTTTTACCTACCTACATAACTTATTGTTTTTATATTCATATAATTTAGAGGGGAAAGTCAAATAAGTCCTTCTACTATTGTGAAACCATAATCTAAGCTCCTATACTAAAAAACGGTTACATATTCAAAATTATGTCCGTTAAATTTGAACAAACACTGCTAATTTTTAATTTTGTAACTTTGACTAAGTTACACACAGTTACATTTGGTAAAAAATTATACACTTGTATATCGTTTTTTAGTAGAGAGGCTTAGACGATGGTTTCGCAACAATGGAAGTGCTTACTTGACACCCCTTTTCATGTTATTTATGAGTGCACTAATTGCATATTCAACATTTTGATGGTAGTTGTGAGTGGATCGGACTTTATTGTGGAAGGGATAACCTTTCGAAACACAGCTGGACCACAACGTCGTACAGTTGCTCTTCTTGTCCAGGGTGAGCGTACTTTATTTTACAGGTGTAGTGTGGAAGGGTACAAGGATACTTTAAGCCCCTCAAGGTATCCATTTTTTAGAGAGTTCTATATTTACAATACTGTTGACTTTGTTTTTGGCAATGCACGAGCGGTGTTCCAAAATTGCATATTATATGCACGGAACCCCATAGCTGGGGAGGATGTCACCATAACTGCCCAAGGAAGGGTGATCACTGACCTACGTGGAGGATTCGTATTTTAGAATTGTCAAACAAGGGCAACCCCTGATCTAATGGCTTCAACTAAAGTGTTTTTGGGTAGACCAGGGAGAGATTGCTCCAGAGTCATATTCATGCAAAGTAGTATGGAATCGATAATTGATCCGGCGGGTTGGTGAGAATGGGGTGGAGCTTCTAACGCATCATCATCAACATGTCTTTACTATGGGGAGTACAGGAATAGAGGGCCATGGGCATCGACAAACTGCAGGGTAGACTGGCCAGGATAACACAAAATAACCAGGGCGAGTGAAGCTATATTTTTTACTGTTCAGAATTTCATCAATGGTACGACATGGTTGCCTAGGCCAAACGTGCCCTTTAAAGCAGGCCTTAGGAGATGATGAAATGGCATTGTTTAAAATATTATTGTCTGCATATTTTGTTTAATGTAGTTTTATTAGATTGTTATATATAATACTGTCTTGATACTATGGCACATAATTTGTGTTTTGTAATTTGTTCAATATTGTAAATTACCATGCACAAAAATAATTTATTTGGGGCATGAAATTTTTAAAGCACACAATGGAATCTTTAAAATAAGTTGCATTTATGACATGCCTTTATGAAAAGTAATGGAAGTGTGAATTGTGCGTGTTTCTGTGTGGTACGGGCCCGAAATGAAATACTTCTTCCGTTTGACTATTAATATTTTTTATCCCTCATTGGTAAAACAAAACAAAAAACAGCTTTTGAAAATTTAAAATGAGAGGAATTTAACAATTTTTTTCCAAAAATTTAATTGATAATAGATTAATAAATAAAATGTAGTCGAAGTAAAATATGTGAATAAGGCAAATTCTTCAATGTTACAATTAAAATAGGAGGCCCTGAAATAGAATGCAAAACTATTAACAAGAAAAGAACTATCGAGATTGAATATATTGATAAATCCAATTTTTTTAATTCTAGGAGGCATTGCAAAACATTTCAATCTAAGACCTAACAGATAATGAAAGAATCAAACTAAACAAGTAGGAATAAAAGCACCTGGTAGAGGAGGAGAAAGTTGAACTGTGAACACTCATGAGGAGAAATCATGTGAACCGCTGCACGCTGTGAGAGCTAGTTGTCAAGTGAAGCCTGATTGCCTGGTCGTGGGTTCGGCCGATGAAATGTGAAACTATGGTGAATTGAACTCTGGAATCCCAAGGCTTAATAAGAAGAAATTTGATATTCGATGGAACGAAGTAGTGAGCCACTTGAGTTGGACTATGAATACGCTTATAATAACCAATTTTTAGAATGGGCCTACAAAATAAATAATGGAGGGCCTTCCAAGAATGGGGCCCTGTCCACACCTACCAGCGGACAGGGACCAAATTGCATGGTTCACCAAAGAGCTATCTATCAAAGCCCTTTTCATTTTCAATTCACCAATGCATATGTGTAATGTTAGTTCATTTGATGTATTAATGAAATATTGTATACTTCATATTTGTGTTTGTATTAACATAATAAAGTCTTAAATGTATTTGTATAACTCAATATGACACTAATAGTATTTTATCGTTTTAGTAATTTACATTATTTTATTTATAGCCCCTTCTATCAACATTAATGTTTTAAAGTTTTTATGCTTAGAGAACTCTTATAAAAATGTCATTTTTGGGCCGATAGGCTTTTGGGGAAGTCATTATTTAAGAAAGAAGCGACTACAAACACGAGTAAAATTGAACAGTGTAGAAAGAGAGTACTCATTCAATCCTAAAAAATCCCTTTGAATACCCTTCAACTTGACTTTGTCTCATGTTGGATTTGCTTCAAGTCGGCTCACAACATTTGAATTCCCTTCAATCTTCTTCCTTGAATATTAATTCTTCCTTTAAATACTATTTCTATATCAATGTTGGGGAGTGTTACTAAGATGACAATTAGTTAACATCTTGACATTAGTTATAGTAATAACTATTTCTTCCTCTATGTTAATATTGGGGAGTGTTACTAAGATGACAATTAGTTAACATCTTGATATTAACTATAGTATGATTCATCTTCTTTAATATTCTTCCTTGAGTATTAATTAATTCCTATTCATATTTCATATTAATATTTTGAACATTACTTAAAGGATCAACTAGTTTTGTTCATATATTAATTATTACTAGAATCAATCGGTTAATACGCTTGTTATTAATTCGGTTCTTTCAATGGTAGTAAACTTGGGTTGTTAATGCATGCTTCTCATGGTTAATAAGCCAAGAGGAATTAATTTCATTGATTAAACCAATAAACCGCTTGTGTTGAGGTTATCAATCTCAATCGTTTTCATCTTAAGTTTATTGCTACTATCAAGTTAATATACGGCGCTTGTTCTATATTGACTCGATAGTAAGTTTTATTAATGAACGCATCTCGTTATTAATAACTACCCTCGATGAACTGGATATACTCCTCGATTGAGTATTCGAGAGGAAGATAGTTAAAGATATAACCGGGATCGACGAACATTTCATTAAGTGGATAAAAGCAAAACCAAGCCTCCATCTCTTTTAAAGTAAACCACATAACTCGTTCATCTTTGTGTTTAAACATAATTTAAGTTCATAAACCAATCATAAAAACCCCCCTTGTTACTTCTTTCTAGTTTTATAAAAAGAGAAGTGTTCCTTTCCCTGTGGATACGAACCTTACTACACTATACTACGTATTAGTGTTGTATTGTATTTATTTTGAGTACACACACGACAAAGTGCACGTCAAATTTGGCGCCGTTGCCGGGGAAAGGCAATTATTTTTCTTTTTATTTTATTTCAAGAAAAATAAAAATAAAAATAATTAAATAAAAATATAAACCAAATCACCGATCTATAAACCAAATCACCGATCTCTTGGAAAAATATAAAGAATTCTTATTTTCTATTTCTGAGCTTTGTTTGAGTATATGGTTAAACACCGATCTATAAACCAAATCACCTACCAAACAAATCCCGAAACGGAACAAGCCTTCGAGAGGTTTAGAAATTTATTTCCGAATACTTCTTCGGAAGAATCATCAAGTGCTAGCTCCAACTCTAGCGAATTTGAAGAGCCAATCACTATGACTCAAGAGACAAGAACATTGAGGGAGCTCACAGCTCCGAACTTGAATCAACAACCATTGTGTATTACCTTCCCTACTCTTGATGAGGGTAATACGTTTGAGCTAAAATCTGGGCTCATTCATCTGCTACTGTCCTTCCATGGCCTAAGAGGGGAGGATCCGAACAAACACCTCTCAGAGTTTCACATCGTTTGCACAAGCATGTGTCCAAACGGTGTGACTGAAGAACAAATCAAACTAAGGGCCTTTCCATTCTCTTTGAAGGACACCGCGAAGGATTGGTTTTTCTATCTTCCTTCTGGGAGTCAACACATGGGCGCAAATGAAGAAATGCTTCCTTGATAGGTATTATCCTGCTTCTATCTCGTCTTCTCTCAAAAAGCAAATAAGCAACATCGAGCAAAAGGATGATGAGTCCTTGTATGAATATTGGGAGCGTTTTAAGAAGTTATGTGCTAGCTGCCCCTATCACGGATACACGGAACAAGACCTCATCTTATACTTTTATGATGGTCTTGTTGATGATGATAGAAGAATGGTGAATGCCGCTTGTGGAGGTGGCATTGTTAACAAAACTCCTTCACAAGCAACAAGCTTAATCTCGGAATTAGCCGAGAACTCACGGCAATTCAGCCACAAATCCTCCACCCGAAGAGTTCTTGCTGCGGAAACAAGTACAACCGATCTAGAAAGTCAAGTTGCCGGCTTGACTTCTTTGGTAAAAGAACTCCTTCTAAAACCAAAAATTCAGGAGGTCAAAGCTTGTGGCATTTGCACATCAACCGGGCACCCCACTGATTCATGTCCATCACTCCAAGAAGAGCAAGTCAACGCCCTCGGTTTCCAAGGACATCAACAAAGAAGGTATGATCCTTTCTCAAATTCTTATAATCCGGGATTGAGGGATCATCCAAATTTCAGATATGGGAACCCTCAACAAGCCAACTCATCTTCTCAACCACCTTTCAACACCCAAGGCTCAAATTCTCAATCTAATATGTCAACTGATGAGATGATCCGAACTTTGACCTCAAACATGGTTACCATGCAACAAAACATGGGAGAATTTCAACAAACCATGATACAATTCCAACATGAGACAAAGTCAAGCATAAAAAATTTGGAAACTCAAGTTAGCCAAATTTCAAATGTTGTGAGCCGACTTGAAGCAAAGGACTCGGGTAAACTCCCATCTCAAACGGAGCAAAATCCGAGGCAACATGTGAATGCCATCATGTTGAGAAGTGGGACGACATTGAAAGAGGTAGAGAAGAAAGATCAAGGGATTGAAGAGGTTGACCATGAGGAGGAAGCTAAATTCGAGGAGGAGTCAACAAAAGCCAACCCCCCTCCATTGTCATCATATGAAGCAGTAGCTCCTTTCCCCGAGGCACTGAGGGAAACAAAGAAGCCAAGGAAAGATGCGTATATCTATGAGACTTTCACCAATTGTGAGGTAAACATTCCACTCCTTCGTTTAATTAAAAGTGTCCCTCGATTTGCTAAATTTTTAAAAGAATTATGCACAATCAAGAGGACACAACACTCAAAAGGAAAACAGAAAGTTGAAATTAGTGAACATGTTTCGGCAGTTTTTCAAAGAAAACTCCCAAAAAAATGTACTGACCCGGACATGTTCACTATACCGTGCAAGCTAGGAGACACTATTTCTAGGGCCATGTTAGACTTAGGGGCATCAATTAACGTGATCCCCTATTATCTTTATAAATCTTTGAACCTTGGCCCTTTAAATAAAACTGGTGTCGTAATTCAACTGGCCGATAGATCAACTATTTTCCCAAAAGGGGTAGTGGAAGATGTACTAGTTTCGGTAGGTGATCTAGTGTTTCCTGCCGATTTTTACGTACTTGAAATGGAGAGTGATAAACATGAAGTCCCTATTTTATTAGGGAGACCATTTTTAAAAACTGCTAATTCAACAATCGATGTTTCTAGCGTACGTTTAACTATGGAATTTAATGGAAGGAAAATAGAATATAACATTTATAATTCTATTAAAAATCACTCTCCCTTTAAAGAATCAATTTTGATCATTGAGGAATCACTAGATAAACCACCGGCGGTTGAGGTGGTAGCAAGAAAGAAAGCTCAGCCTTACTGGAAAAGGCCGAAAAATAAAATTGAAACATGGCCAAACAAGGTCTTGAAAAAGGATAAAAGGGATGTTCATGATCCCAATTAAATCACAAAATAAAATAAATAAATAAAACGTCGTGCCGCGACGTTAACTAAGGCGCTTCTTGGGAGGCAACCCAAGCTAAGGTACGCAATTTTTATTTTTTTTCTTTTCATTTACAGTTTGAATGTCAACTTTGAGAGAATGAGGGACAATTCTCCAAAGAAAAGGAGAGAAAAAGCATGTTTTAAAAGTTTGGGGAAACCTCCGATCGGGCATAATCACTTACTCGACCGGATCCCAATGAAAAAAATGGACAAAATCAAAACCCAGGGTAATATACCCGATCGGGTAACACCTACACCCGGTCGGGTATATGCGAAAATAACAGAGGTCAGGATCGAGTACTCTATACCCGATCGGGCATATTTCTTGGCTCGATCGGGTATATTTTGGCGAAATCCTACGGCACAACAAACCCGACCGAGTACACCCCATACTCGATCGAGTACACAACCCCTGGAGCGTTTTTGGGGAAAAAAATGAGGTTATACCCGGTCGGGTATATTAAAATGATTTTTTGGGAATTTCTACGGCGCAAATCACCCGATCGGGTATCATCCCTTACCCGGTCGGGTACACAAGTTTTAAACCCAATCCGAACGCCCAAAATCAGTCATTTTCCCCAAATTCCTCCTCAAATTCAAACCTTCTCTCTAAAAACCCCTCCATTCCCAACCCTTATTTCTTCAATTACACCCTCATTACTCACCCAAATCCACCCAAACCACCACCAAAATACTCCCCTTACTCTCCTCTACAATCGAACACCCAAAATCTTCATCTCCCCACATATTTACACAAAGATCAGGTCAAATCAAGGGAACAATTCAAAGCTACGAGGATGTCTGTTTCAGCCCGGGTATGACGGAGACGAGCACTAGGGACAGTGCTTCGAGCTAAGTGAGGGGGAGTCACTCATTGATACGTACTTAAGTTTGATACCTTGTAACTGGCATTATTTTCTTCACAAAAAAAAAACAAAAAAAAGTAAGAAAAAAGAAAACAAAAAAAAAAGAAAAAAAAGAAATGCTTGTTAGGTTGAAAACCCTAAAATGGGCAATCTAAGCAAAAAAGGCTTATAAAAATGAGTGAGTGGAAAGGATGGAAAAATAAAAAGAGTTGCTAGGATGAAAACCTGAAAAGGCTCCTAGGCAAAATGAGAGATATGAGATATATATTTGTTTTTACAGTACATCATTTAATCTCTTGAACATGAAAAGAGGAGAAGAAAAGAGATGAGCATAGAAGGCCATGAAACCCAAGAAGATATTGTTCTTTAAGCTAAACACTCAATGTAAAACTCAAGTTTTATCCTTGGTGGTCTTTTGATTCTTCTTGTTGATTGTTGAACTCTTGAGGACTTGGAACTATTAAACATTTAACTTTACTCGAGGACGAGTAAAGAAGCTAAGTGTGGGGGAGTTGATATTCATGTAATTTCTGATTGTATGTTTGTATTTTTAACTAGTTTTTATTAGTTCTAGTTGTGGAAATTACACACTTTTGGTGTAATACTTTATTTTCATTTTTATTTGTAATTTAGTTAGATTAGGATTTTTCTGAGCTAAACAGGTCAAAGATCATCTAAGGGATCGAGATTGGACCTTAAAAGATCAAGAAAAGTGCAAGGAGACAAGAAAGATTTCGATTTGGAAAAAATACTCATGTACTCGGTCGGGTATTGCCTATACCCAATCGGGTAATTGCTTGATTCGACTGTCCAAATCAAATCCGAAGACAAATGATCGTGGGAGCAAATTTTCATAAAGATTTGTCACATACCCGATCGGGTATATACCCTTACCCGATCGGGTATGCCCAGAAAAATCACTTTCTGGACAATTTCCTGAGATACCCGGTCGGGTATCCTATATACCCGGTCGGGTATCAAACCCTGCAGCTCCCAAAAGCCTATAAATACACCCCTTTCCTTCCCAATAAAATCACCAATTCACATATACTCTTTAGCTCAGTTTAGATTAGTGTTTTCTTTATATTTTCTATCATGTTTAGTCTCCAAATGAGGAGCTAAACTCTTCCATCTTGGTTTTGCTACTTTGAAGTTTAATGAATTTGTAAGTTGTGAGTTATTCCCTTTAATCTTCTTCCTTGAATATTAATTCTTCCTTTAAATACTATTTCTATATCAATGTTGGGGAGTGTTACTAAGATGACAATTAGTTAACATCTTGACATTAGTTATAGTAATAACTATTTCTTCCTCTATGTTAATATTGGGGAGTGTTACTAAGATGACAATTAGTTAACATCTTGATATTAACTATAGTATGATTCATCTTCTTTAATATTCTTCCTTGAGTATTAATTAATTCCTATTCATATTTCATATTAATATTTTGAACATTACTTAAAGGATCAACTAGTTTTGTTCATATATTAATTATTACTAGAATCAATCGGTTAATACGCTTGTTATTAATTCGGTTCTTTCAATGGTAGTAAACTTGGGTTGTTAATGCATGCTTCTCATGGTTAATAAGCCAAGAGGAATTAATTTCATTGATTAAACCAATAAACCGCTTGTGTTGAGGTTATCAATCTCAATCGTTTTCATCTTAAGTTTATTGCTACTATCAAGTTAATATACGGCGCTTGTTCTATATTGACTCGATAGTAAGTTTTATTAATGAACGCATCTCGTTATTAATAACTACCCTCGATGAACTGGATATACTCCTCGATTGAGTATTCGAGAGGAAGATAGTTAAAGATATAACCGGGATCGACGAACATTTCATTAAGTGGATAAAAGCAAAACCAAGCCTCCATCTCTTTTAAAGTAAACCACATAACTCGTTCATCTTTGTGTTTAAACATAATTTAAGTTCATAAACCAAACATAAAAAAAACCCTTGTTACTTCTTTCTAGTTTTATAAAAAGAGAAGTGTTCCTTTCCCTGTGGATATGAACCTTACTACACTATACTACGTATTAGTGTTGTATTCTATTTATTTTGAGTGCACACACGACAAAGTGCACGTCAATCATGCCATCATATTCATAACATATACACATACACAATTTATTCATAAATTTGTATATTATACAAACTATACTTATAATCAATAGTAATTTCATTTAGGCATTACTAATCACTAATAATCCATGCAAATCACATTTTGTATTCATTTAGGAAATCTCATGAAATTAACCCAAAGATTATAAGCAATATAGTCGACCATCCTCACCTTAAGTGAGCTTAAGCGCGTTCTACGCCCCCCGGTTGAACTTTGACTAATTCCGGCGAACTTTGACCATCTCCGGCGAACTTTGACCAACTCCGGCGAAACTCCGGCGAAGCTCAAAAATACTTTAATCAAGTTCCTAACAAGGTTTTAACATCATAAAACCTTAATCAATACAAATAACCTCTAAAAAGTTATTTTCCGGTGAACTTGTCGGTTTGGCTCCTAAGTCCGTTTTTGGACTTAGAACCACCTTCCAACCCGCCATTCCACACTCAAAACATGTGGAACATTCCCAAGGGTTCTTCATGTGATATATAACTCATATGGTAAGTTATTATAAGGTCATTACCTTAATCCACCTAGTTTTTCCTCCTAAAAACCTTTCCCTTGGACCTCCTTGAGCTTGCGCTTGTTCTTGGCTATGGAAGATACTACTTTTCTGGTATTTTCTTCTTCTCTTGAGGGTGTGGCCGAGTGATGAAAAGGGAAGGGGGTGAGTATCTTCTTTTGTCTCAATAGAATGAGTGGTGTGAGGAGAGACCCACCCTTTATTTTGTTTGATCCTTTTCCATTCACATCACATACCTCTCCCATGCTCCTTCATCATTTCAGCCGGCCAAACATCAACTTTGTGTGACCAAATTCGTGGGTTGGCCCCCACCCAAGTGGGAGGTCAACCCTTTTTGTCCAGAAGTGTACAATCGGTCCCGAAAGTTGTATTTCTTGGACTGTTTTAAATGTATTTTATTTTATCGGGTCAAATAAAATATATTATACGTTCTCAATCATTATGACCCTTATAATGAATACACATTCCCCAACTTTAATTTACAAGTCCCCGAAATTCAATTTCGGGCTTTTATCGGTTAAATTACCAATACCGATATTTGGGCTTCTTTTGACCAATCGGTCAACTCTGGACCTTTCCATGGTTCAGATGAAGTACCCACCACTATATAAATATTATCTTGATCAAGATAAATAAAATATATGGTTTCGGGAATTTCGGGCGGCCCCCGCTCCCGGTGTGGGCCCCACGTGCGAATTTACTATTCACGCAAAAGAATTAATAAAAATCACAACTTCGCATACTCATTAACCATTCCACAAGGTTCAATACATTATTCGCTGAAAGTAAATACATTTGGGAACGGTGTTACATGTTAACTTGCTTTGATTCTCTAGTTCCGCACATCATTTTGGTTTCATCGAAGTAATTTGTGTTTGACATGTCATTTCATGTTTGTTGTGTTTCTTATCAGGTGTATCCAAATGATGATGAATTCCGGAATGCGGCAATAGAAGCTGGGGAAGTAGTATGGAAGGAGGGGCTGGTGAAGAAGGCAGGATTGGGGGATGGTGCTTCTGGGAATGCTTATGCATTCCTGTCCCTGTACCGGCTAACGGGAAAAAGCATATACAAGGAAAGAGCAATGGTGTTCGCAAACTTCCTGTATGAAAGCATTGACAGAGACACCGTAGGGGATGTAGCAGCAACACTCCCTTGATCAAGAACTTCGGCTACATGCCAATCATAATTTCAAATAGAAATGGCAAGATCAACACTATATGAAAATGAGTACTTTAATCGGGTATGAGTGTATGACTACTTGTACTTGAATTAGGTGTCTCTACAATAAAAAAGGGTACTAAACCTCAGAAGTTGGAACAATAAAATACAACAAAATAAAACCAATGGGCGGTGAAATGAAAAATAAACTTACATTGAGAACAGTAAAGTTTGAACTTTGAAATAGCAGAATATTGAGCATTAAATATTGATGTCATTATATTTTTATCTAGAGTCCCCAAAACAATTATACGGATTACAAATTAAAATTGCAAAAAGAAGAAGTGTGAAAAGGAGTGTATATTGGCGGTGGAATATGAAAAGGTGGAAACCATGCTTCGAGAAACAAAGAGCTGGAAATTAACTGCACGCTACAAATATCATAGTACTTAGCATTAAACATTCACGTGGAAGGAATTTTATCCGTAACACTCCCTAAAAATTTAAAGTAGGCATTTTTCTCCAATGAATTGTTTTGACGAGAACTTGTTCCCCAAGAATCCTTCTGTTATTATATTAAGATAGATTAGTGAGTTAAGAGGGGGACAACTAAGTCTTGAAGATACAAGAAACCATGTCAAAGCTGGGATGAACTGATTACAAGATAAAACACAAGTGTTAAGTGAACTCGATCTTGGACTCGGGTCGGGCCGCCTAGCCCGGAACCGGCCCGAGACCGGTACTGTTTGGGCCCGGCCCAGCCCGGTGACCCGCTACAGTCCGGTTTGGGTAGGCCCGGCCCAGTGGTTAGAGAAGGGCGGGCTTGGGTCACTGTGAACTAAAAAACTACTCCACTAAATCACATACGAACATTCATTGATGTCCAACAGTAAGGCACCTCTAACATCCATAGACAACTCCTATATTGTGGAATGAGATTTGGAGCTTTAAAAATCATGATCAAATAGGGTCAGTAAAGTAGTAAACGTGTTGCTGGGTTACAATGTTTGGGGAAAGCCTCCAATACAGCTAGCTAGGATCTCCCGCGATTGCCAAGGAGCCTTTTCTGGCAAATGAATGTACTGTTCCAACTGGAAGGAATTATGTTCTTCACCCAGTTGTAGAGAAGCATTATTGTTTTCAGAGAAGAGGCTCATTAAGTGTAGCAAAATCCTTCAATAGTTGAGTGATCCTAGCAAATTGTTTTTACTGTCTGAAGTTCCTCTCCAGCCCACGTTTTGCTGCAATAGTCCTTGCAAATGAACCAGGATATTACCCCGGGAGCACAACAAAAAGTAGACCATCATAGATTTTTGGGAAGAAATTAGCCATGAATATAACATACATTGTCTAGAATTTGGAAAGTGTATGCTTTGATCTAGTAGTAAAGCTACAGAGTGAATCCAGATCAAGGATGAAAAAACACAATGATAGAACATGTGATCCACAGTAGCATTCTTCCTACAGCATAGGGGACACTAGGGAGGAAGAATCTTTCTGAATTTGCATAGATATATTGCAATGAAAGCATACTATTGAAAATTCTCCAAAGAAAAATTCCAATTTTCAGAGATTAACTAGGCTGCCAAATGGAAGAATTGGATAAAGTATTCTTGTCTGTATTAAACATAGAAGCATTATTCCAATGTTCAAGTGGCTAGCCCCTAAATAAAGGTAGCTAACTGCTAAAAAATTCCAATTTTTAGATACTCTATATGAACACATCAAGAATTCTTTTTGGTGTTGTGAGTAGTTTAAGAAACTAATTGAATAACTATTGTATGAAGCATCTTAAATTAGCGAGAGTATCATTTTTATGTTTGCAAGAGGTTAAATCAAGTTGTGATTGACAAAAAAAGGAATATCTAGATTCTAACTCTTCAAAATACTTCCATGGATTCTAACTACTCAAAATACATACATTGAAATAGGCCAGAACTCCTAGAAGTTTTATCAAAATCGGGCATTCTTCCCAAAACACTACTGACAACCAATTTCTCACACAATGCGATCTTTAACACACACACACACATGAAATCAAAACAGCGATGGAATCAAAGTACATGTTTGCTATTTTTATAGGTTTGCTATTTTTATTGGCTGCGTTTATTTCAGAGTTATTTATGTGTCTTATATAAAACATGTATCTATATATCGAAACACAACAATCCTAAAGAAAATCAATGTGAAGAAGAAGAAATATACCTGAAAAAAACAGATAGTTTGCTGGAGGAAAAGTCAAATGAAAAGCTAATTAACAAACACTCATGACTCATATTAGCTGATTGATATGGTCAAAAAGCCAAATAATGATCAAATCAATCAAAAAATTGTTGATAGGCTGCTAACCAAACATCCTCCATATAAGTCTATACGCGTTACTTTTTTTTAAATATATTTTTTAGTTGATGTTTACAATTCTTTGTATTGCTCACAATCCTCATATAGTCTTATTCACGTGGAAGACATCTGAAATCTTTTGTAAATTGTGGTTTTCAGGTGTCTTCTTTCATTTATTTGTGTGAGTTCAATTATATGTACTGGGACGCACTTAATTTATTGAGTTCTATGTTCGTTTAAAATCGAAAATTGAAGAAAATCAGTAATTAAGTTCTATTTTGCTTATTTAAACAACCTGTTTTTAATTGATTTTTTGATGTTGTCTAACGAAACAAATCAAATTACTCATTTTCTTTTCAAATACTTTTGTCATTCTAAAATTAAAGTTAGACACTTATACCCACAATGCCCGATTTCTTGCCCCAAATATTATCACACAATTCAAAATTTGAGAGCACTCAAAATTACCTGCCCCTGTCATGCAATATTTGTCATTAGTCCCTGTGCCACACTAGTTTTGTGAATAACTGGGGGTTTTCAAGATTGAGAATTGAAGAAATTTGATAGCTCTATGTGACTTATATTTCTTATCACCAAATAAATAATCTTTTGATCTTACTTCCTTATATGTGGCTGAAATGGAAGTTAGTCATGTTAACAAAAGCTTTTCCATTCTAAAATTTCAACCGTTTCAGCTAATCAAGTCTGTCACGTGATACCAATCTGTAGGCAGTTAGCTACAAATCTACAATCTGCATTTCCATGCTTCCAGCTCTTCAAAGCTCAGGCTTCGGGTATGTAGTTTTAGTTTCATCATTTTTACGATTTTAGTTTCAGCCTTTCCTCTGAATTTAAGGATTTTTGCTCCCACTGAATTAAAGTGCTAGATTCGCCCCTGCACAGAGGAAAAATAAAATTACAAAGTGAATGTCATATGTGTCATATTGGTTGCAGTCCCTTTTAAAAAAGGTGAGAACTCTGATACCCATTTAAAAAATGGGGTACCGTACGACCTACCACTCATTTGATTCGTCCAAATAGGTATATCATTTTTTATTTAGACTTAAATAATTCAACTGCAATATTCTGATTAGGCCATGTGAACAAAGGTATGGTACCTTATGGGTACCATAGAATCTACCTTAAAGAAATGCACATGACATAATGAATATGAACTTTGGTCATCATTAGGAATGTAAAAAAAAAACGACCCGCAATGACCCGCCCTGGCCCGAGACATTTGGGGCGGGTCCGACCCGTCCCGTCTTGCAAATGGGGCGGGTCCGGATATTAGTATTGACCCGTGCCGCCCCGCCCCGACCCGCTCATTATATAAGTTTCCATACTTTTTCTTAAATTATACTTCAACATACATATGTGTGTATACAATAAATCATAATTTTTTTGATCTTATAATATATATATATATATATATATATATATATATATATATATATATATATATATATATATATATACATTAGAATGGGACGAACGACGGATTATCAATGTCTTCTTTATATATAGCATTTTAATACATATATTCAATTATTAATATAATTAAATAGATTAACTATTCAAGTCTAAGTAATTTTTTCTTAATTTTTGAAAATTTTAGCGTATCATGAATTTGATTTAATATATTAATTTTTAATTCTTATTTAGAGATAAACTTTATGTAGATTCAATGGGTAACAACTTCCCACAAATAAAAATACATAATACGGAGTAGCAAATTAGGTTTTGACGAGGTGGGGCGGACCCGCCCCACATGGAGCGGGTCATGGGTCAACAAGTTTGGACCCGTGCAGGTCACGGGGCGGGGCGGACCTGCCTCGCCAAGTCACGGGGCAAGTCCGGGTCTTGCAGTCCCCGCCCCGACCCATTGTCATGCCTACTCATCATCATCATTATCATGTACTAAAGTATGATAAGAAAATGAACTTTGGCATGATTATAAAATTTCTAGATTACATATATCCTCTTTTAGAAAAGCTAATGTGCCCATTGATCAAAATTGTAACAAAAGATGTAATTCGTATTACACTTAAAGGATCAATCGTGTTACTAATTTTTTTAAGAGCAATTCTGATTTGTGATGTATGTTTCTTAGTTTCACTTTGATGAACTCTTATTCCATGTAAAACATTTGCAATATTTATTTTTGTACTTTTACTTTCTTCTATTGCAAATGAAGTTAATTTATATTGAGTACATATTAACTCCCACTGGACTGGAACACTAGATCCCCTAAAATTATTTATCTTATCTACACCCTGCAGATTTTGGATCCTTCGCAGCTTAATTTGAAGAAAAGATCATGCAAAGGGTGTAGACCATCGTCCAACCGTCTGTACAAGACAAAGGTTAGTATGCCAAGATTCGTGATGTTTGTTTTTAACACGAATTATCAAATTTATGATATTTATGAATGTTATTTTAATATTTTACGATTTGGGATGAAAATATATTTCGATAGCATGCCAAGATTTAAAGAAATCCGGAGCGCCGAGAATAGTTCAAACGTTAGTTCAAATGATTCGTGATGTTTGTTTTTTGAAAATAATCGTGATCATTAAATGAAGAAGTTGAACAAGAAATTAATTTGACTTATAATCTACGTGACCAACATGTTGATTTTAAATTTTTGAAAGTTGGTCGTGTATTGGAAAAACAGAGAGACGTTTACTTTCTTGGTTTCCTGTAGCATGAAATTGTGTACTATTTTAAGGATCAAATTGATCTGGGGCTTGTAATGGAGAAAATGTTCCGCACGGAAAAGGGGGAATAGTATTCTTTCGTCAAGCTTGCCTTTGATGCATCGACGAGAGTCTAGAAAGAAAGTTGGAGGTT